CTCAGGCCAAAGGCCATGAAGGTTAAGCCCCTGAAGCATCGAACTCTACGACGGAGGATGGTAAGTTGGTTATATCAACTGACCATAGCAGCTCTTTGCTCTACTGCTCTACTGCGCCTGTCTCTCCAGATAAATATCCTGAGCGTCCGGTGCACTTCCTACTAGCGGGTGTTGGCTGACAGGGACTCTTCTACCTCGGCAGCAATCCTGGATGGACTTTGTGGTGGTCTGTCACCAGTATATACCATCCTGCCAATATATATATATATATATTTATATATATATATATATAAAAATAAAAACAAGGGCTGCGCCACAGTAAATAGTGTCCAATTTCAATAAAATATAAGAGAAAGTCCAACCTAGGTATCCTCACTGTCGTCTTAAAGTGCTGTGTACAGGGGCAAGGTCTTCGGACGTTATTATAGTTCCACTTTTATGAAAGAAAAAAGAAGAGGGACAACCAATAGTGCAATATGTATAGCTCAAAATAAAAACACTGGGTAAAATAATGGTAGAGAACTCACATTTATAAGAGCTATATCCAGTTCTAGGGTAAAGTGCGTACAGCGATATAATCCCCGCTTATGGGATATATGGTGAGTACCTCTCCGTCACTGGTGTCCAATACTCAAAAGAGAGGAGATAGAAGAGACAGCCAATAGTGCTCTCTGTTTAACAGTCTCAGTGGTAATTAATTAAAATGGTACTTACAAGTGAAGAGCAGACCTACTGCTCTTTGATGTCAGCGTTGGTGGGATGATCCCCACCTAGGATTTCTTGGGGTACAGGAAACTTACAGGGGTTATAAAACCAGGGTAATAAAAACAGGATAAAAAACAGGATAATAAAAAGCCAGGATATAGTAAAAAATAATGTGTATATAAAAAAAGATAATTGGTACAAACAAATGACCAAACATCCTTTAATTCATAAATACACAGTATAAAATTTCCATAACGCGTTTCGTCAACAGACTTTATCAAATGGAATAAAATACAATACCTGGCAATGGCAATTACCCTAGAGCTGGATATAGCTCTTATAAATGTGAGTTTCTACCATTATTTTACCCAGTGTTTTTATTTTGAGCTATACATATTACACTATTGGTTGTCCCTCTTCTTTTTTCTTTCATAAAAGTGGAACTATAATAACGTCGGAAGACCTTGCCCCTGTACACAGCACTTTAAGACGACAGAGAGGATACCTAGGTTGGACTTTCTCTTATATTTTACTGAAATTGGACACTGTTTACTGTGGTGCAGCCCTTGTTTTTATTATTTGTTTTTATTTGTCTTGTTTTAAAAGGGTTCGGAGGGATTCCCTTTAAAGGGTTGCTGATGTTTGGTTAACCAGCGCTGTCTCTTCTTCCTATCTGTTTTACCTTATATATATTGATGGCTTATCTGTTATATGCCTTATGCTTCTTAGTTTTCTTTTTTCTTATGCTTACTGTATATTCTAGTTTCAATATAGCGGTAGTAAATGGAAACACAGGCTGCAGAGGTACACTTGTGACTGCTAAACAGGGCTAGAACTTCTTCAGTATAACCTATTTTTAACTCTCACATATGATTAACTATGGAAGCATAGCCTGACTATGTTATGTCATTTACCAAAAATTGTGCATCTTCTCGCATTTGTTCCATTATTATACATGTTTGTAAGCTTGTGGAATGCTTTTGGGCACCTCAAGCATGCTTGTATGCTTATGCACTGCAAAAACATAAAATAAATTCTTTTTAAAAATCCTTTAAATAGAATCTAAATATAGGTATCGCCACATAAGTCGTTTAGATGAAATGGCAAAAATTGCTATATTAGGTCACAAGTAAGAAATAAGACATGTCTATGGAATGGAACATTTTTAACACTTTCATAGATGCAATTTTTATTTCTGTGGCAAGCACAAAAGAGGAGATAGAACCAAATGTTTCTATTTGGATTGATGTTGGTCTGGAATACAATGGGGTGGTCCCTTATAGTTTCTATATATACACCTTATCTCCACCTCTGGGCCAGGCTTGGAAACCTGTTATGAATCCTGAGGGTATATATCTAATTATATGTAAATGTCCTGTGTACTTGCTTGGGGCCAAAATCTAATTTTAAATGAGTCACCATCTTTCTATGCCGGAGACCCCCTGGTTAGAAGAACTGTTACTTTTAAAACCCAAGTAAGCAGTTAGGACTTCTGGTTAAATTCTCCTTTTTATCTGTTATTAGTGTAAACAATTTGTTTGTCATCTATTTGTGTATGCACTGTGACTATTTTTGTTCAAAATAAATATTCCTTTATTCCGCCTTTGTCTGATAAAGGATCACGTTACCTGAAGAGACCAATTTAATTAGTGCTTTGCAATTGCATAAATATTGTGCTAAATTGCATTTGGTGGGCTTTTCTACTTATGTACCTGGGGGAAGGAGGCACCATGTTTATACATTGTCTTGGTGGTGGCAACATTAAAAATAGTGATATTTATATTATTATAATAAAGTGTGGGTGGTGTTAAGGGGGATTTTTATCATTATTTCCAGTCTAGTGCACACAAATAGTGAAATTTAACCCTTCTCACCACCAGAACTAAGACACATACACTCTTGGAGTAGGGTGCGTTTGTGACATTATAAATAATTTACAAACCAATTAACCCCATATAATGGCACACAATGGATGGAAAGAAGAACTATGGATGTGTAATATAGAGCAAATATAACATTGGTATTCCTTGGCCCTTTTTCCTTCTTACCAGATGGTTTAGCTTGCAGTTGTCAGAACCCTGCAATGAAGGCTTGGTCTGTTTAATGACAATATGGTTTATTGGGCTGGATGGGAGAAGGGGCTTGGTCAGAAAGAGGAGATCGCATGGCTCTTAGAGGTTAGAGGCGAATACTGACAAACAGAAAAAAAGAAAGATGAATATGGCGAAAGAGCAAGTACTCACCTTTTCTCCTTTTAGTTTTGCTATCTCCACACCTCTTCCCATTTCTTCTTCTGCTGCTGTGTGCAGGTAAATACAGTATACCCTGGTAATATGACAGTGAAGGCAGAACCGAGGGTCAGTAGGTGGGAGGAGAGGAGTTGTAGAGGATGGTCAGAGTGGGTCTAAACGGGACGAAATTTTTGCTGCACTATTAAAAATATAGATCTAACTGAAGGGTCAATTATTAGACAGCTGGTGATGGCTCTAGAGGGGCCCTGGGGCGTGCAGCCTCTAAAGCCCACCCTTAGAAATTCCACTGGGACAAGCCCTGAGCTTTGCTAGAGATCGTTTTTTAATTAAAAATCTGCCTTTGTAGAAACCAGCTCATATACCTGAATCTGTTAACTCTCCGTCTAGGCCCAACACATTAGACACATTGTGGTCTAAGCACCCTTTCTGTATGTAAAACTTCTCTCACACTAACTACATACAAAGCGTTAGGTGATGATTATACACTTCTATCTACCAATTAGCAAGCAAGGAAGTAATTAAATCTGTGCATCTAGTAATTCTTGTTCGCTCACTTCCAACCCCCAGACATTACAGAGAGGTTACTGGTAATGTTCCCTATGTTATAAAGCGCGGTGGACTATTGACTTTTGTCTTTATTTTATGCCATTGAGTACCCAATTTATTGAGGTACCCAGTCCTTTATTAAACCAATATTGAGTAGACTTATAGAATGCACATTAAATTGTGTTGCATTATCTAATGTACTCCTTTCCCGTTTAATCGTGCTCTTTGTTGCTGAAAGGCTGCAAATAAAGAAGAACAAAAACGTTGACATTATTTTCAATAGGTCACAAGTCTGATCTGATTTAAGATAAATAGGATTTAATTTAACAGTACATTTCTTTTAACATGCTCTAATTTCACTTTTTCATAATACACCTCTCACTTTTGGAAATGTTTAACAAGTGTTAATGATGAAATAGCTCTATCACTCTTGCACTAAAGTTCTCTATGGATCAGAGAAAACCCTTGGCTTCTAAAACTTGCAATTCGGTATCTTGGAAGCCCAGAGAACAAATGAGCTTTTTGACTGACAGTTTAAATGATGCAAACAAAACCAAATACTGTAAAACGAGAAGTGTTTCCATACGTTACGAATGTAAATATTTTCTTTGTTGTTGATCCACCTCTGAAATAATTCAACCTGAAACAAATTGGGTGAAATTACAGCTGTATAAATCTCGTTTGTCACTTTCCTTACTTATTGACCTGATCACTTGCTAACATAACCATTTCTGGACGGCATATTTCTTTTGCAGAAATACATTCTGAAAATATTTTATTTAACCAAATAATGCTAGGTACAGTAGAATGTTATGATCTACGACTGAGATTCTGGGATGGTTTGTTTTCTCTATAGCAGTAAAATATAATCTCTCTTTTTAAGGGATAATCAATCTGTAAAGAGTATAATACACTGTTGACTGATTATTACATAGCGTCTAGTTGAACACGGTTGGAAACTTTTATCTGGTTAGAACAAGTACCAATCTCATGCAACTTCTGGTTCACCAAACAAGAGAACTATTTAGCAAACGTAATATAGCCAGTCACATATAGTCTTTCATGGGCATGTTCTAGCTCCCATTATCCACATACACCAACTGAATTAAAGCCCAGGATACATTGTTTGCCTTGATCTATGGTCATTCTATAGACAGTTCCAACAGTTTGATACGTAGGGTTTTACTTGCCTTAATAACTAAAATATTTTGTTGGTAAGGCTGGCTGAAATTGACTCCATAAATATTTAACATTGCAAAATTACCATCATCACCAAAGCTTGTAGATATCATATTGTGTTTTATAATATCATTGTCAACAATTAACTCCTACAACTTTTCTAGACAACATCTCATGGCACATAGCTAGCAGAGAATGGTGGAGAGGAGGGTAATCAGCTTGGTTGAGACTTGAAATTCTAATAACAAACAGCAAGAATGGCAACAGGCATTTAGAACATTATCATCTAATTCCCCCCCCCCCAAAAAAAGAAATATTTCACAGCCAGACACAGGTGTTGTATAATACAATTTAATACTACGGTCAAAAAGAAAAGAAAAATATCCCAAGATTAAAAATTATATTTCATGTGGAATCATTTCATGTATGCTTAAAGAAAGAGAAGAAAGGAAAGGTACAACGAAACCATTGTCAAAATACTTTCCTTCACTCAACATAATTTTGTTTCATATATGTATATATATATATCCAAAGCATTTGTGTAGAAATTTGTCACCGAGGGCCACCAAGGGAAAGGTCAACTCTCGCTGTGATGCGAAAGGTACACAAACACTTTTGATCTTGAAAACAATCACAAAATAAATCGATCTCGGGAAAATCCATGTTTCTTCCTCGAGTCTACCTTTCATATGACATATGAGGCATTTATATGATATTTACATTATTTCCCCCAGAACTGTAGAAAATAAGACAAGTTCAGAAAATGCAAAGAGGGTTAGACTCCATATGCTATGTCTGCATTTTCTAACATACCACTGGGTTCAACAACATCACGTCAAATGTTTTTGTTTTTTTTTGTCTCAAAGGTTGGTCATTATTTTGATATTAAACTTTTCCATAAATTGTATTCTTGTGCTCTGCATCCCAGTACAATACATTGTCTTTTGTCTTTCTCCAAAGCTCCACAGAACTCGATCAGGCACCGATGGCAAAAGAAGGATGCCAGTCTTCTAGACAACTATAAAACTTTTCTTGAAGTCACGTGGCTTCCTTTTGTAACGTCTCCAAAAGCCACGTTTGTGATTTGAAGAGACACTTATGAATGATTAATGCAATAAAAATAAAAATTATTCAAATGGACAAGAGCCTAAAATAAAGATTATTAGGGTTACCATGATTTAACAAAAAATTTTAAAAGTAAAGAAAATAGACTAAAATTTTTTTTCTTTTCCTTCTTGCAATCAGTCTGCGAGAATAAAGCATAGACACTCTGATGCATTCACATGACAGTCTACAGGACTATGGCAAAGATAATGGAGCATCCAAGGCTGGCCAAACTGGCGCTGAACGTAGGAGCCATAGAGTTGAACACCTCGGATTTGATTTGATCGGATCCTGTCAAAAAAGGCTCCTGTCTTGTGACCTAGGGAAGGACAGAAGAAAATGTTACTTTTTATTCTTTAATTAAATGAACAGCTATTTTACAAGGATAAATTGTGTTTTGAGAAGCTCCAACAATGCAATGTGAACCAAAGGTGGATTTCGTAGAGGGGCAGATATTGCTCCTCAGGATTAGTATAACTAACTTGCTTTATATGGTTTGACGAAAAAATATTTTTTGGACTTAATGAAATGCTGTACTTCAGATTCCTTTCTCTACTGCTCCTCCGTTTAAGAAAACTAGGTCTGTTTATTTGAATTTCTTGAAACAATTTTTTTAGACTTTTTTCCAAACTTGCTTTTCAGGCTAAAGTTTACCAGCCCGTCTCTGATGAATGCACACTGCATTTTGAATAGAGCCAAGACAGAAAACGCAAGAAAAAAAAAAAGAATGGACACGCAAAATGTAGACTAAATCAGTTAAGTTAGAAAACAATCTATTTTATTTTACATTTTATTTTGTGGCTTACAATTTGCATGTCAGAGATCAAAAAAAAAATCTGAATAAGCAACCAATTGGGAGGAGCTCAAGTGCATGCTGGGATTTTCACAGTATGATTGTGTTAATTCATGGCTATATAAAATATAAACTAACATATCAAACTTACCATATCTCACTGTTTCATAAATAGACACTTTAATCTAACCTATTGATATGGTTTGGCTATGTATCAATTACATTTTGGGTTTTTCCCTTAAGAAGATCAAGTCTCTCATTCTCTTGCAGATGAAGTTTCCACATGAATTGTCAATGTAACCATTAATCCCCGAATTAGCATTCTTTTTATTCTGCGTTTTTTCTAATTTTCATGTGAGATAGTCCATTAAAATGGGAATTGTAGAAAACCGAACAGCAAATCCTAAACTGGGAGAATACTACACATAGATATTTTTCCAACCATTTTAGGCTAAATTTGCAGTTTCCTTATTGATTCTCACAAACATTTCTTATTTTTAAATATGTGTATCTACAGTTTAACCTGTAAACTGTATTAGACATATTTACCATGACTATGGACGAGTGGTGTGGTACCAAATAGGGTGTATATTGGTAAAGCAAATCTAAAATGTTGCCCTTGTGCTGAGCATTCTGGAATCATCAGAATTGGGTCATCAGACTACCAAATTCAGAAGATGAAACAGTGGTCCGAAACAGTGACTGTCCTTCTAAATTCATGACAGTTTGGAGGTATTCAGCTAGAATTAGTTGCATTGTGACTTAATACAAATAGGTTACAATATACAAAAAGGAAACAAACTTAATCAACAATAAGCCAAGGGTGCTGAACTAGACCATGGGCCAGCACAAGCTCAACAATGATAAATACCAGTTTACAGAGAAGAGGTCCAGGCACTCCAATAGCTTCGGGCAAATATATTGGAACATGAGGAACACTGCAACATGTCTAGCTTGACAAAGAACTGATTCTGGGTCAAAACGTTGCAGTGTTCCTAATGTTTCAATACATTTGCCTGAAGCTTTTGGAGTGCCTGGACCTCTTCTCTGTAAATGATACAAATGAGATGAAATCATTTGTAAACACTTTTAACTCTAAAACATGCGTATCGTTTTGTGTTGCAACCAACTGTGTGCTACATCACCACAAAAACCACACTGAAAATAATAAATAAAAAATAAGGGCACTAAAAAAAATATATATATATATATACCTGTCACATCATCAACAAAGGTCGTTCCAAATCCCTTACGATCATGAGATTTCTGAGGAAACTCACTTGGTTGGCAGCTTATCATAATTTTTTCCTATGTTGTTTCCATGTACCAGGTGTATATAACACAGCTGCTGACAATTTGTCTCGCTTTAAATTTCAGGCATTTCATCAAGCACTCCCGTCAGCTGCGCCCACAGCCACCATCACTCCAACATTTCAACATCTCATACTGGACTAGACACCATCATGCAGCATAGCAGGACATTGTCCCAATTGGCACTTTCAAACAATACACACAAAACATACAACAGGGTTTTCACACTATTCAAACGATTCCTTCTGGAACATAACATCAAGCAACCATTTGTTATGACATCTTTTTTGGGGTTTGCTTCCTTTTGCCACCTTAAACTTAAAATGTCATATAACACCATCAAACTCTATCTCACTGGCATTCAACACCACATGCTAATCTTACACCCAAATAACAACAGTTTCATGGCCTCTCACCAAATTAAGACCATACTCAGAGGTATTCAGAAATCAGAATCCACACATACAGCCCAGAGGCTACCCATAGATAACCATATCTTTAAAGCATTGTCTAACCTGCTTGACTTAAAACCGTTTGACACCAACACAAATTCTATCATCAAAACAGCAATATACATAGCTTTCTATGGATTTCTAAGACCTAGAGAATTCACTACAACCTCCACGACCCAAACTACTCCTTTCCTCCTCTATTCCCACTTGACAAAACATATGGATCATTACATCCTGACTTTACCTCACTCCAAAACCAGCACATACCCGTAAATATTCCGTACTATCCCACGCACAACAGATGGTGTCCCGTCAGGGTTCTTGATGCCTACATACAGCATCATAACTTACTGCCCTCGCAACCATTACTACAGCTACAAGGTGCAGTACTCACCACTACAACCTTCATGACCTACGTCAGGTCCTTGCTCACACAACTGGGCCTCAACGCAGCCAAATACTCAGGGCACTCCTTTCGTATAGGAGCCGCGTCCACAGCCTCCAGTGTCAACATCCCAACTCATGTTATCAAAACACTGGGGCGCTGGAAGTCATCCGCTTACTCACGGTACATACCGAACCCAGTACAAGAATTAAGGGATGCTTTCAAAAACATGTCTGGTTGATAAAATGTATCTGTATTGGTTGTCTGTAATTAATTTGATTACTTAATTTTTGCCCTCTTCTTTCTCAGGCCTACCTCATCGTCGGTTCCGGCACACCACAAGCGTCTTGCTCTTTTTATTATCCTACATTTATTTATGGTATTTCACACTGTACTATCATAAGCACCTAACACAAGTATTAAGGCAATTTGCCTGGATTTGTGGGAGGTGCTGGTTTGCTACCCCTAGCCTACTTACCGTTCAAGGTCAGCGTTGAATGACCCTCCCACCACACCACATTTTAACATTTATTTTCTAATTTCTTTCCCTGGGTAGGCCCTCTTCTTTCTCAGGCCTACCTCATCGTTGGTTCCGGCACACCACAACCGACTTGCTCTTTTTATTATCCTACATTTATTTATGGTATTTCACACTGTACTATCATAAGCACCTAACACAAATATATTATATATATATATATATTATTACACTATTAAGTATATTTCTTAGTGCATCAGTTTTTCATTTGTTATTTTAGAATTAGTTGCATACCAATGCTCAGTAGTAATCCAGTCGATATAACTGTTGTCTGGTTGTCACCCTACCTTGGTGGGCTGAACTTGAGCAGGGACAAGTTCCTCGACAGGATGAATGGAACTGTTTAAGCTTATTTCCTCCTTGTGCGTTGGTGTTGTAGAGGTGACAGATGGATTTAAAGCCGGATTCAAGTTTGTTCCATTCCCAAAAGCATGAATAGCATTTTCTAAAGAATAAATGAAAGGGTACGTTTATTGATCATGTCTGTACATATTATTAATGATGCTACTTACTCTAAAACTCAATGCGAAAAAAAAAAAAGTTACAAACATTTTAGCTTTTTGTGCAAAACATTTCTTACCAATGTAAAATAACAATACTTTTAGCTGGAGGGCATGGCAGAAAACTGCTGTGTTCTGTTCCTAACAGTCATTATCCAGCCTGCAGAAAAATCAGTTTTGCAAAAGGCTGGTCAGATGTTTTGATTCCATCACAGAATGAAGGTTGCTCAGCCCTGATTGCCATTGCCATTAAAGAGGCCAATGATTGAATCAAAAAGGTAAATGCAAACCATTAATCTTTCCATTCTGGAGCCCTGCACTTTCCGCACAGCTTCTACCTTCTAACTTGCAGGCTGGTCAAACTTTTGTTTTCTGAATTTTACAGTGAAAAGAGCAACAGCAGGTGAAAAAAATAAAATAAAACAGTGTATGCAAAAGACAATAGATGACTGATACTGTTTTGCAGCAGAATGGATAAAGGGACCTGGAGGCAGGGATAGTTAGAGGCAGTAAAGGAGATTTTACAAAGTGTATTAAACTGAATTCTCCAACCACCAGTAGGAGAAGGTGGTTGTCTCCACAAAGTACTGCTGGTACAGGACGGAGCTCATTGGTCCAGTGAATGCGGTACTTCATTGTGCTGCTTTATTCCTTAGAACAATCTCGCATCTCTTTCCGTAGAAGATCAAATGTGGCAGAGGTGACCACAGCTACATCGTGGAACCCAGGTAAGTTGACAAACCATATTAAAATGGTTTAAAACCTTATCCTGGGACAGTACCTGGGCCCTCTTGGCACCATAACCACTACAGCGGACTGTAATTGCTATGGTGCCGGTAGCATCTCTTTAAAAGGAAAGTGTGTCTAAACGTGTCAATGTAGAGTAATCACCATGGAAACCAATGGAATATTACCGCTTTTTCCATTGGTTGCCGTGGTTACTATGTCACTTTTACAAAACGTTTTACTCTCTGTTCTCCTCTGCATTTCTATGAAAAAGAAGAGTTTGGGTTTGACATTGTTACATCAAGACCTTTTTTATTTTAATAATTTATTGTGTGTGCTGAGAAATAAAACATGAGAGAAAGATAAAGTCATGGTGTATACATTTTTGCAACAAAAAATAAATGCATCCTATAAATACTGTATTTTAAATCTGCATCCTCAGCCCCACATGCCACGTTTTAAATTATTCCCTTCTTGTTGGTTGCCGAAGAGAGGTATGTGATGTTACAGCTATGCAAGTCCACCATTTATGATCCTTCGTTCTCCAATAAACATAGCTATTCATGTCATCAGTTACTACAGCGAACATTTTTGGAGTTATAGTTCTGCTTGTAACCTTCTTACTGGTGAAGGTAGTGCTTGAGGTTGATTATCTGTGCGGGAGTGTCTTGGAATGGCAGCAAATTCACATGTGAGTATATTTGTTATACTGGATTGGATACTTTTTGTTTTTCTAAATTCCTTATCTATACCAGAGGTCTTGGCTTGGAGGTCCTATGGGGCTAAAGCCCTAGGTGAGGAGTTCTTTAGCATTGAATCTCTACTGGTGTTTTTTTTACAACAGGCAACTGATTTTCAAAAGAGCCTCTTGATATAAAAAAAAATGCCACTGATATAATGCTTCTTCAGCTGTAAAGGAAGTGGGACCGGTCCTCCCCAAGAGGAAGTCAGGAGGGAAAGCTCGGCATAGAGGCTGCACTGTTCCTCTACTCCATTGATTAGATTTTGCGACTAGGCAGGATTGCATTGAATAGCTAGCAATGCAGCATATTATAGTTTCCGAATTAATACAAAATATCATTATCAAAATCCAGAATGTAAAAATTTTTTTTATAAATCCTACACTACCAAAATAGATCTTTTGGAATTCAGGGGTTGTTTATACTCTCACTCTCCAAACAGCTTATTGCAACATTGTCGACTACCCCTCCATGCAGAGAAAACTCCCCAAAGCAAAAACGTATCCAAAAGGCAATGCGTCCAAAACAGCCGTGTTAATTAACACAAAGTTATAATAAACACCAGAAAGGGCCGAGCAAACCAAAAGATCTCAGAACCACACAGAATGTGGAGCCGCTTATCGTTTCATAACTGTGTCACTGTTTTGGTCTTTTTTTTTAAAACCCTTAAGGACACATGACATGTGTGAAATGTCATGATTTCCTTTTATTCCATAAGTTTGGTACTTAAGGGGTTAATTGACCTCCTGGCTCACATGGTTTGGCAAGTTGGCAACGTTTGACAAGGTTGGAGAGGCGGTAATATGGCTCCTAGAGCAATGTCCTGGAAAGGGGGTCATTGAGTTTTGCTTTGGACTCAAGCTAGATTCTGGAAGCTAGCAAGGCCTGATCTATAGATTGCATTAAAAAGAATGTGCTAATTACATGGCGCAATGTGTTCGAAATGTGATAATCCATGTTATTTAATATGCCATATCTCTGTGCTCTACAAAAGCCTTGATCTGTATTGGATGGACATTGCTGTGTTCAGAGCCTACTCCTTGGCAACATTTCTATATCCTAATGGAGTGCTGAGTTGCACTGTGAAGTACCTCAACACCCAACAAGTGTAATATACTCACGGAGACAGATGTTATCTGTGAAGAGATGTAAGAAGTTTTCACATTCCTCTTGGCGATTTCCACTTGTATTACACGTACACCAGGGGGACACACTGGAAGATGAGTTATCCACATAGTTTGGAGTAATCGCACTGCCTGAAGAGTAACAGCAACAAAGACATAAGAAAACCACAAAAATGCTGATAAGATTATCACAGCTCACATTTACAAGTAATAATTACTATGTAATTTATTGTTTCTGGCATTAGATAATAAACATATAACATCTAACAATAACAATGTAGATGACAACTTCCATTATTAGCTGATTGCATAGGCTACCCACAGGACTGGATTTCCATAAGTGGTCCATAACAATTACTATATGGCACAAAAGAGTGTATTCATTAAGAACCTGAAATTTGAATGGTAAAACCCAAGTTATACCCAAGTCTGAACAACTAAATCATTACAGCTCACTGTAGAGTTTAATATCACACCGTTTAAAAATGATTTCATGTTAACTAGGGCACCACCATAGGACCATCCCCAACGCAACCACACTGATAAGGCAAAATTAACGGTATTTTATGTTTAGTGTCAATTTTATCCAATCTGAATGGCACTGATTGGTTGAAAACATTGGGTGGTATTCTCAGACATTCAATGCCACTGAAGCTGGCAGAAGTGAGAATGATTATGTGGAACTTTTAATTATGCACTTTCAGTGCAACCAAGATGGGTGGTCCCTCTGAGCAGGAAAGAGATGATAGATTTCATATTTCACCAGATAATGGCTTGGAAAGACTCTAGACAACCTAATCTTTTACGACAAGCTTAGGGTGCCTCTTGACCTATTCAGCGAATAAGTCTGATATTGACAGATTTACTTTAGGTTGAGTCCTGTTTGACCAAACTTCCAAGTTTACCAGCTTGACTCAGCTCGGTTATTTAATTGTGCACAAAGTTTATTAAAAAGGTGCTAAAGGTGCAAATATCCAGTTCAAAATTGAGATTCATCATATCTTGAATGCAACTCAAATAAAAAAAGCTTTTTCTTTCTACAGAAAACGATAGTAGGTATTCCACCATAGTTGTCATTACGACAGTAATAATTTATCATGAGAACATTGGAAAAGTGTAAGAGTTGGTAACCCTAGATCTCTTTTTGGGGTTAATGTAGAAATCCTAACAAGTAGTGGACATTACACATAGTACCCTACATTTTATACCAAAACAGGTATGATCAAATATATGTCAACCAGTATTATAACCCTAAAGAAAGGAAATAAAAGTGATATAGTTCCACACATGCTGCTTTTTAGCAGGAGGCAGTACACAGGTTCTATACATACATCGATATGTTTCAGTGTTGAGCTATTTTCAAAAAATAAAATATGTTTAATTCAGACATTAATAATAATAATAATCATTTTTATATAATATTAATGTTTATCAATAATGAGCAATGGTGCTAACACGTCATTATCAATATGGAGGAAAAAATAAACAAAACTGGCATACACAAGGTATATATTTTCAAACCTAAAATCAAAACATAATAACTAAATAAAGCTTTGGAGATAAGTTGGTATTGTATAGTATTTAGTGAGATAAATAAGCAGTTATGTAGCTTGAGCTATAGTCATTATTACAGTGTGTTAGATTATATTGGCACGGTTTTGTCCTTGATGGCTATCATACACAAGGTATTTAGACAAACAAACCGGGCAGACAATGCAGCCATCGGAATAGATTGCTACTTCACATTCCAGGCTTTAATTTATGAGATATTGTCAGTTCAGTATCTGCTAGACAAAGGCTCTTAGTCTCTTGTGATTACAAAGAAACGCTTTATAGATCCTATCTGTCATCCAGAAGATTCCACTGCTTGTTCCAAGTGCCATGCTCCATCCTGATGTCAACATTTTCCAACGATAAAGAATGTCCTCTCTAAGCTTTTTAAGTTTCAAAACCCATAATGTTTATGTTAGCATATCTCTTAGATTGTTAGCTCATTTGATCAGGCTGTCTTGGTCTCTTGCCTCTGTCAAGAAACCACATGTTGTTACCCAAATATAATATGGTGGCGCTATATAAATGATAGTAAGATAAATAATGGGACGTGTCTTATCCTATCAGAGCAGAATTGCTATTTTAGTACTTTTTTTGTGTTATTAATAGCTGCACATCACAAATACTTATTACAATACCTCACGGCATTAAAAAAAAATGAATGACTTCTCCAATTGTGGTAAAATTTACAAAAAAAATATTGAATGTCCATCTATTTCTCCATTCTGTTGTCCCTGTTTATTTTCAAACTCTCTAATCCAATGGATGTGGTCCTACAAAAAAAGAACATTCATTGAGTTGCTTTCAAATGAAATGTATTTAAGAGTAATTTGAGGTTTATTCTGTTAAATTAAGGATACGAATTGAATGCAAATGATGTCAGCTCAATGATGAAGTCTAATTCACCTGGCGATTTATTATAATCTTCAATGGCTATTGATTATATATCCATCTGATTCTACCACAGCTACATACATAAATCTAGCTTCCAAATAAGGGAGAGCCAATGGGCATTAACACCGGGTTCATATTTTTGCCAGAAGCTCAAGGAAGCAAGGTCAGTGTAGGACCCACCTAAGAGGTCTGCCTTGACGTGGCAGGTGGGAATACCCTCTCATGGCCATTGGTGGTAACTAAAAACCTCCATTTGTTTAAAAGTACATAGGGATGTGGAAAGAGCACAGGTAACTTTTTTTCTTTGGTTTTTACTATATGTATTTTGGCTGATGTGTACTATTACTCCTGCTACCCAGGAGTAATGGGAGTTTGAGCGCAGGACTTGTTTCTTTGTATTTTACTATTTGTCCCCGACTGCGAGAATAGTCCTTACAGGGTTTTGTCTCACGGAGGTTTTCCATCACTAATGGTTCGCGGCAGAGGTGTCCCGTCTCGCCTTTGATTTTTATCTTAGCTTTAGAACCCTTCATCCAATGCATAAAGAAATTACAGGAAATAAAAGGCCTTGCAACTCAAATCGGTTCTCAAAAAATTGTTTTATTTGCAGACAACGTCCTTCTCCATATTTATTTTTTTATTTTGCACCATACCTATGTTAATCCCAAAACTAATCTTAACTAGATTTCAAAGGTTAATCAATGCCCATATTAGGGAAAAAACCCACAAAGGGTTTAATTTACCACAATGTGCTATGGGACGACAGAGGGTGGATTGGGTGTTCCCAATATTTATAAATATTATGTGGCATCAATCTTGGCACAAACGGCTGGCTTATTAAGACAAAGGGAAATCCCTTTATGGTATAAAATAGAGCAGGACATTGAATTCCTATCAGATGTTGGATTCCTTATGGGTGAAGCCTCAGGAACAATCTAGGAGGCTCAATCCGTTAGCTACAACTAACCTCTCCATACAAATGTGGAGAGAATGGGTACCAAGAGTGGTGAAATTAGAAACATTCATGATGAATGCTCCACTAGGGAGCCTTTCATATTGCTCAGATGATCTATTTTTAGGTAATTGGAAAATGAAGGGCATCAAACAAGTGTTCCAAATGATCATAAAGGTATGCAGCATTTTTCTGATCTACAGTTGGACTTGATAGTAGAGAAATTTTTACCTATTTGAGGGTAAAACATATCATTACGCATAGAAAGATCAAGGGGATAAAAGAGGAGGAAATAAGTGTCTTTGGGAAACACTGTTTGGGAAAAGTGAAACAGACAAGACTTTTGTCACTATGCTACAGAAATTTGATAGAGGTGGGTAGACCCTCCAAACTACCTTATATGGTGAAATGGGGAAAATAATTAAACGCACTATTAAACAAGCCCAATGGCAGTCTGCAATGAGATTAACTAAAACATCGATGCACTCTCTTGACCAAATAGAAGCTATGCAAGTCTCCACTCCTTCAAAAAAATCATTGAAAACTCCCTTCTTCAGGAAAGCGTATCAAATGAACTGTTAATAGCTTTCCCTCCCAGCACCTTGATTCCTCTCTCACAACTGTTATAAAAAATACCCAAAAAACTAAGCCCTCAGTGAACTCAGTGGATACTAATCTAGCAACCTACTTTATTACCGTGCCCTTACCTATTGAGTGACTATACCCCACTCAGTGGTAGAAAGAGGATGCAGGGGCTCCAAGTATCTTCAATTGTATTCATTAGGATAAGTAAGACTCTGCAAGGTTTCAGGGGTCATAGCATTATGGGGTCTCACTTATCCTAATAAATACAATTGAAGATACTTGGAGTGCTTGGATCATCTTTCTACCACTGATATCTACTCCCTGGGGCTCATGCTGGCCCGTGGTCCAGTTTAGCACTTGGATCTACACGTGATTGGAGTGTGGTTAATGTTTGTCTTTTTTTGCATATAACCCACTAAGTGGTGTACTAATAGGAGGGCTTAGGGGGCGGTCTGCTCCAGGTACCACTCATTCTGGGGGTGCCATCTACTGTCTTAGCGAGAGCTGTGACTGGGCAGCAGGAGGAGGAATGCGGATGTGCACACTCTGACACTCTGTGTGGGCGGCGCCGCGGAGGGAGAGTCTGGAGCCCGGATCAGCAGGGAGCAGCAAGCAGGTGAAGGAGCAGGGTGACTGCTTGCTAGTATTGTAGAGGGGGTGGGCAGGGGTATTTCTACAGGGGGTGGGCAGGGATTTTGTAGAGTGGGATGGGCAGGGGTCTTTGTAGAGGGGGTGGGCAGGAATCTTGTAGAGATGGGCAGGGTTTTTTGTGAATGGGGCAGGAGTTTTTGTAGAGGGGGGACTGGGCAGTGGTTTTTGTAGAGGGGGGACTGGGCAGGGTTTTTTTTATAGACAGAGGGGAACTGGGTCTATGTGGAGGAGGGCAGGGGATTTGTAGAAGAGGGAGTGGGCAGGTGTTTTGAAGAAAGGGTTTTTTTACATTTGAATTGGGGACGGGGGAAGTGCCAAACTCAGGATCCACCCTGGGTGCCAAAAGCTCTAGGTCTGCCATTTCCCCCACTCCCTCTAGCATGTAAGCTCATTGAGCAGGGACCTCAACCCCACTGTTCCTGTACATCCAACATGTCTGGTTATAAATACGTGTCTGTTAGTCCACCCATTGTACAGCGCTGCAGACTTTGTTGGTGCTTTATAAATAATTAAACATTTTTTAAAATAAATTGGGTGAATTTTGTTCTATTATAATTAATGTATGATTTATACATTCATTATAAATAATGTTCTGACTGTGTCATTTTCAGACTAGTTTCATATATTGATACATTATAAAAATTTTTTATTTATTTTAGCACACTTTGACAGCCGAGAATAATGATTACAATAATAGGTCAAATGTAATTATATGAAGAAGTATAAACTCTAATAAAGTACCATATCATTCCATTTCACCTCTAAACGCAAACTGTTATGTCCTGACAACCATCAACGCATACGTTTTCTTGTTGGATAATGGAAAATATGGTACTGTAATGTAGAAATGCAGTACAAAAACATTTGGACAGCAACCTCTGGTGAAGGATCATGGGATTTGGAGTTTACGGCTAGCTAAATAGTCGTGGGTCACTAACTGCCTATCAGTGTGTCACAACCTAAATCCTATATTTACCTTTCATTTTTCTTCTTCCAGTAAACAATTAGTTGGAAATATAAAATAAACAGCTGTTTTACACGTTACTTTGCCACCGCATTACCTCCCAGGGGCGAGCTAATGAATATTACAGCATGCTCTAGTTGTGGCAGATAAATATGGTTTAAAAAAAAGGATTTAATTAAAATGAAACTTCACTTGCATAACGCTGAATGATTTCTTCCTGTTGTCAGTATGGAGACAGTCACAGAACATTTACTGGTGAATTAAATAGCACCGAACACATCTTAATACAGAGCTGTCATATGCAATAAATATTTCCTAGCACACAGCACTGATATGGCACATAGAAACCTCGTGCAGATCTACGTCTGGCTGCAGGTTTTCTGGTTCCAAATTTGAACGAAACTAGGAGACGATTTGCATCAAAATAGATCAGGCTTGGCTCACCAGATGCTTGTGACCATTAAGACAGGTGAGCATCACAACTATCTGCCGAGCATAGCAGTCCCTGAAATACGTGGTGAAAGTACAAACCCTCACCTGCAGGTGTGTTGAGCTACGGCTGCAGTTAATACTAACAGGGTTGTGAGCTAAATTGTGACTTGAGAGCAATTCAAACTAAAATCAGTCAGTTTCGATTTTTAAGTCAAAAGAGATGAATTGGGAAAAAAATTTCCTAGTCAACTTTGTTTTAGTTGAGCAATTTCGGCAGAAAATACGAAATTCACTTTGAATGCACTTTGAGTTCCCGTCAATCCATATTCAATGAATAACCCTGTATTTCTCCCTTCTTTAACCTATAGCGACATTGTCTGACTACATTATGGTGTGATAGAGTACCGCTTCGAAATATCACAAACTAACAATATATAGAATTAAGCTATAGCAATAGGTTTGTGGATGATTGACATGAAAATTGAAGTTTTTAGGCCAATGTAGTAAACACGGAAAATGAAATGAGTAGAATAAGTTTTCCAGATTTTCTTATTTTTGCCAGAAAATTTTATTTTCCTGATAAATTCTACACTTTTCCGGGTTTAGGGAAAATCCCTTAGTGAGATATATCATAGTGTAGTAAAACCTCATGAAAAATGAATCGTCCATTAGTTTCAACATACTATGTATTATTTAGAGATCAGCAATCTATAGCCCCTTATTTTCTCCTGTACCAGTTTCGGGTATTGGCATCACAGGAATGACCTGTCTACCAATCATCTTCCTGGGAAATCAATTAGAATCTATAAAGATCGGTCAGAACACCACAACCATTTCCCATATCACGTGTACTTTACAAAGGCAGGGGAATGGGTTTCATGTTCCTTTAAGGCAGTATTTAGTTAATGATTTATTACACCCTGCCGTCCTGTCTAAATCTTGTTATATAGTTAAAATAAAACAGTTGATGTTTTTTTCCCCCTTAATTTTATTCATATGAATTATGCAAATAGCGTATTTAACCCTTAGACATAAAATGGATGAGAATCAATTTTAAAAAGGCTGTAAAATTGGCAAGATGGGTATTGAATAGATTACATGTTTGCTTATTTTTCTTTTCAAATCTCCAAAGCCTGCTGGGCATAACACCAGCATTGCACAGTACCTATAATTCCAGTGTACGCCAGAAGGCAGGCAGCGTAATTTTCCTGGGCACATCCTGTAACAGACTGTAGCGAGGGCTGGCAATCTAACTGAAAAGCTGCAAACCGGGATCTGAAACAAGAAAATAAGCTGTAATAAACACTTCTGCGGAGTGAGAAGCATCATATACATGCAACAGAACAGCCATGCCTAAATCAGGTTACCTCCAAGCTTTTTCTTATTGCAAGCGGGAATAAAGAACATTAGATCTTGCTAGCCAGCATTTTATGAGTTAAATCCCTTTGTACCAGAAAACAAGGCTGTTGTAATCTATAGCTTGATTCACAAGTCAGGCATATTTTGATACTCTGATATATTGCACTTTATGGATAGACAGAGTAGAACGTCAACGGATAAACAAGACAATACATTTATTGAAAGGGCAGGTGATACATGGAACCATCCGACAGTCCGTATAACGCATTCTATCAATGTGCGCGCCTAATAAATACTTATCACAGATATAGCCTTATCTTTAAAGAATGCAGAGCCTAAAATGTAAAGAACTGCTTTAAGGAAACAAATTAGAGGAGGGTATAATAAAAAGTACAAACAAGGACGACATTAATGTACCATCAGAGGAGTGATAAGTAACTACGGAACTCCAGATGAGTGTGAACTACACTTCCCATGATGCATAGCCAATATTTAGGCTAACTGAGCATTATGGGAAAAGTATTACACAAACATCTTAAGTGGCATGGCTTGACGTCAGATGTCTAGGATGTTCCCTGTTAAAATGAAGACAGAGTCAGTCGCTAAACGAATTGTAGCAAAGTACAATATAAATGACGAAATTTTGCCTAAAACAAAAAAAGGTAAAATAGCAGATGTGGAAAATTCACCAACGCAGCTAAGGCCACGGGTTGGATATTTTAGCCGCAGCTCTGCTGATTGCGGTATTTATCCAAAATAGCATTTTGGTTCTGAGTCAAAGTTTTCCAGAGATATGATTGCAAACCAAAGTGTTCGTGGCCCGGCCTCACTTAGATTACTGCTATTGAAGAAGTTACACCTTCGGCATATCAACTTTGTTCAACTATGGATGACATTTATTGGGGGATTGTCTTTCATATATAATAAAAGCTGTTACAGCGTGTGAGTCGTTTGCATGGTAGAAGCTAGATTTTACTGGCTGACACTATCTCAACAAAATGAAAATCTGCCTCAGTGTTAAGAGAAACAGATAACTTAAAAAATTCTTTGTACATCCTACAGAAAATACAGTAATTCCATAATTAAGTACACTCAAGCACCAAAGCCCATATGCAATTTTTTTATGCATAAATGTGAATTATCATCAATCATACCTGTGAAATTGATCACTTACATGTTATCAAACACTAGCATACATGCATGCAGTGGCGTAACTAGCATACATACATATAAACTGGCTGCTCTGAGGTCCGCACGCCGAGGGGGTCCATCCGAGGGCCCATGCATTTAGGGCCACCCGATGGGCATGTGTCCTCAGGGGTAGGGGCTCAAACAAATGTATGTTAGTTGTGTCATTGCATGCATGATAGGCAATCATCACACATATTTAATCAATTAAAGGATATATTCTACCAACGGCAAAGAGACATAATCAAGATATATAGGAATTATCCCTTAATAGGACATTCTCAATACCAGAGTCACTTAATGTAGTGGTGCTGGTGCATGAGTCTGTCCCTGCAGCCTCATAATTTTAAACACTGAATTATATGAAAAAAAAAAGTGTTCATATTGAGCTACAAGAGTGGCTGCCACGCAGACCATCAATCAATCAGTCACTCTAGTGACTCACTAGTGGTCCTCAAGACCTCAGACAGCCACTGTTCTGGTCTTGCAATCATTGTGATATTGACATTTGCTGCCTTTTACTGTGTGTGAATGTGGCGGAACCCGCCTCGCCACCTGGCATTGGAGAGGCCTGGCTGCCCGCCTCCTTCCTGCTGACTATGGCCCCTGATAAAGTTGTACTTTTGAATGCAATATTTGGGCATATTGTATTTTATTGTGCAGCTACTGGCTCTTTAAGCACAGTGAATGGACTTACTGAAACTTTTTGGACACTTCCTCTTCCCCTCCCCCGGATCCATTGTTCTCTAGCAGGGTGTTGTCCCAGGGACACTGCCAAACCAGTGGGAACTGGTTTGCCAGGAAAAATCATGCTTGCAAGTAAAAACAAAGGACTTCGACCTAACCGTTAAACCCCTGAACCTATTCAAGTGAATTTTGGATATGTTTGTCCCCAAGTTATACTGGTTAAAATAATATGTTTTATGTATGTGCAATGTTAACTCACAAAGTTATAAAAATGTACAAAAAGTAACTTTTCAGCTTGGAGATAATTGAGTAGATACAGTAATTGACTCAATTATCTCCTAAGCAGAGGGGAGGAATATGCTGGGTGTGTTTCTATTTTCCCATTGTGTCTGATTGGCTGCTGTACTTGCATTGTATGTGTTGTAATGTGTTTATTGGTGGTTCTGCAAAACCCTGTGGGCAGTACTATGTTTTGTGGATTGTAATAAAAACCAGGCTGGGTGTGCCAGCACTTGAGTTCCTGTTTTAACCCTCAAAGTGAAGTGTCGTCTCATTATTGGGGGAAGGATTTATTGTATGCTGTTCCAGTTTGACTGCTAGGAGAGTAAACCTATTCGTATGGTTCCTATTCAACTGTCTACAGCATTCATATGCTTTGGAGAATTTATTTGTTTCTCCGGTTCGGTGATTGTGGTGTCTGCCAGAGTGCTTGGAGTCCTCAGGAAGCGCTAGGAGCATCCTTCAACGGAGGTACCCAGTCGGGGTGCCAGGCGATCCGTTACATTGGTGGCAAGCGGTGGGATGGCGTCCTAGTGCGAGGTAAAGCAGCTCAGAGACACAGTTCGTTTGGATTTACAAATTGAAGGCGACGCTAGTGTTTATACAGCTTCCCTGTCTACATAAAGATTTGGGAAAATGGGGTTCGTGGATCCTTGGGCAACACGCACACCTGAGGAAGAGAGTGAATTGGAATGGAGAGATATTGCCCGGCAAGAACTATGGTACGATGCCCTGGAGGAAGTCCAGTATCAACGGCAGCAGCGCCTTCCTGGTGTCGCATACCGGTTGGAGGAACAAATGGCCTGGCGGATGCCGCTTCTGGGAGACCAACCCGGAGGGCAGCAGGTCAGACAACTTGAGTACCTCGTGGAAAGGGAACTGAGCCTTGACGCCTCATACCGGGCACTGTGGTGGTGCACTGTCCAGCCAGAGACGTGGAGGGCAAAGGGCATCCAGCCGGAGGGGGAGAACTACACTAGCCCTGGCCTGTTGTGGAAGGCCTTAGCAGAAGACGTCGACTTTGGCAGTCCAGCAGAGTCACGGTACTGGGCTATCTTTTATTACCGGGGTGAGATGGTACAGGGCCCGAGATCTATGGGACTGGGACAAGACCTCAACCGTTTGGCTGCCATGGAACGACAGCTAGAGATGGACTATGTGGAACTTCTGAACTCATGTCAGCCGCAGAGCATAGACGCAGAACAGGAAAACTGGGTGGCGGACCCAGACCTGCCAACCTACAGCTGGGAAAACGCAGCCGAGATCCCCACTGCTTCACTACCAGTTGCAGAAGTAGGGGACCTCATAGACTGGTCCTGGGAAGACCCACCGATGGCAGGTAGAGATGGGACGGCTGTCTCTCTACCGGCCCTACAGGGATGCTGGGCAGTCGGCCCAGATCCCCAACAGCAGTGTGTATCCCAGGGAGCAGAAGGTGTCGTCCTTCCTCCCCAGTGGCAGTGTGTACCCCAGGGAGCTGAATGTGCCGTTCTTCCTCCCCAGCGGCAGTGTGTACCCCAGGGAGCAGAAGGTGCCGTCCTTCCTCCCCAGCAGCAGGACAATATATTGAAAGGGGAGACAGATGGTCCCCCTCTTCACCAGCAGACCAGTATGGAAGGGTCTGGAGATAATTGGCTGGCCGAAATAAGGCAGCGAGTGGCCCAGTATGGGGATGATGTACCCATGGAGACACGCCGGGTGATCTGGAACCAGGTCATGGCCGAGCGAAACACAAGGCTGGACCGAGAATTCCAGCGGACGAAAGAGAGAGAGCGTCAGGGAGAGGAGCTTGTTACCCCCTCTCCCCAGCGGCAGTCTATGGTTCAGGGAGAGGAGCTTGTTACCCCCTCTCCCCAGCAGAAGCATAGCCCACCAAGGGGAGACACTAAACCCCTCACCAGCGCAGATGGGACCGTGGTCTCTGCGCCCAAGCTACAGGGAGTACGGAGGATCAGTCCTGCTCCCCAGCGGCAGAATATTTTACCGGGAGGGGAGAGTGTCTTTCCCCCTCCCCAGCGGCAGCCTAGCCCACCAAGGGGAAACACTAAGCCCCTCACCAGCGCAGATGGGACCGTGGTCTCTGCGCCCAAGCTACAGGGAGTACGGAGGGTCAGCCCTGCTCCCCAGCGGCTGGAAGTGTGTAAGGGAGAGGAGTTTGTTACCCCCTCTCCCCAGCGGCAGCCTAGCCCACCAAGGGGAGACACTAAGCCCCTCACCAGCGCAGATGGGACCGTGGTCTCTGCGCCCAAGCTACAGGGAGTACGGAGGGTCAGCCCTGCTCCCCAGCGGCTGGAAGTGTGTAAGGGAGAGGAGTTTGTTACCTCCTCTCCCCAGCGGCAGCATAAACCACCAAGGGGAGACACGAAGCCCCTCACCAGCGCAGATGGGACCGTGGTCTCTGCGCCCAATCTACAGGGAGTACGGATGGTCAGTCCTGCTCCCCAGCGACAGAATATTTTACCGGGTGGGGAGAGTCTCGTTTCCCCTCCCCAGCGGCAGCCTAGCCCACCAAGGGGAGACAGTAAGCCCCACAACAGTGCAGAAGGGACCGTAGTCTCTGCACCTGCACCACTGGAGATATGGACAGTCTGTCCTGGCCCCCAGCAACAGGACAATGTATTGGAAGAGAAGGCAGTTTGTTTTCCCCTACTACAAGAGAGGTAGTCGCAGGGAGAGGAGCCTGTTACCCCTTCTCCCCAGCAACAGCTTTGTCCAACCAGGAGAGAGAGCACCCTGGTTACCTTTCCACCAGACTATGGATTTCCAACTGGACACATGTGGCAGGAGAACACCGGGACAGCTACACTGGGGGAGAAAGGCCGACCGACTATCAGAGCCCCAGACCGATTGAAGGTCTGGAGTCTGGATAGTCTCAATGGGAAAGGGGAGAAATGTGGCGGAACCCGCCTCGCCACCTGGCATTGGAGAGGCCTGGCTGCCCGCCTCCTTCCTGCTGACTATGGCCCCTGGTAAAGTTGTACTTTTGAATGCAATATTTGGGCATATTGTATTTTATTGTGCGGCTACTGGCTCTTTAAGCACAGTGAATGGACTTACTGAAACTTTTTGGACACTTCCTCTTCCCCTCCCCCGGATCCATTGTTCTCTAGCAGGGTGTTGTCCCAGGGACACTGCCAAACCAGTGGGAACTGGTTTGCCAGGAAAAATCATGCTTGCAAGTAAAAACAAAGGACTTCGACCTAACCGTTAAACCCCTGAACCTATTCAAGTGAATTTTGGATATGTTTGTCCCCAAGTTATACTGGTTAAAATAATATAAGTTTTATGTATGTGCGATGTTAACTCACAAAGTTATAAAAATGTACAAAAAGTAACTTTTCAGCTTGGAGATAATTGAGTAGATACAGTAATTGACTCAATTATCTCCTAAGCAGAGGGGAGGAATATGCTGGGTGTGTTTCTATTTTCCCATTGTGTCTGATTGGCTGCTGTACTTGCATTGTATGTGTTGTAATGTATTTATTGGTGGTTCTGCAAAACCCTGTGGGCAGTACTATGTTTTGTGGATTGTAATAAAAACCAGGCTGGGTGTGCCAGCACTTGAGTTCCTGTTTTAACCCTCAAAGTGAAGTGTCGTCTCATTATTGGGGGAAGGATTTATTGTATGCTGTTCCAGTTTGACTGCTAGGAGAGTAAACCTATTCGTATGGTTCCTATTCAACTGTCTACAGCATGCTTTGGAGAATTTATTTGTTTCTCCGGTTCGGTGATTGTGGTGTCTGCCAGAGTGCTTGGACTCCTCAGGAAGCGCTAGGAGCATCCTTCAATGGAGGTACCCAGTCGGGGTGCCAGGCGATCCGTTACAGTGAAGATGCCAAATGCCTCCCATATCAGAATATGCTGACTAACGCAGCACGGCAACGTCCGCACCTGTGTAGTAGCCCCCCAATGATTCCTTATGGAGAAACAATGAATTGGCTGAGATTACTTATGATCTCAGCCAGGGCAGAAAGGCAGCAAGGGCAAAACCTGTGTGGCAGGGGATATAAGGTGAGTAAAACTTGGTATTAAACTATTTTAGGGGTACATAAATATAAAGCCCCAACATCACTCTAACGTTAGAAATGCAAGTTTCTATTTCTAAAATTAGAGTGCCCATTAAAGTAGTCATCTGATTGGGTTCTGCATATGGAGACATATTCTAAACAGAACAACATTTTATGACAAACAAATAAGTACATTTATCACACATATTGTGCCCACATCTCCTACATTTAAAGGACCACTATAGTGCCAGGAAAAAAAAACTTGTTTTCCTGGCACTATAGTGCCCTGAGGGGCTGAAGGGGGTTAAACACTTACCTTTCTCCAGCGCCGGGCTCCCGCCCTCTTCTGATGTCATCAGCTGAATGCGAATGCGCGGCAAGAACAGCGTGCGCATTCAGCCAGTCCATAGGAAAGCATTCTCAATGCTTTCCTATGGACGCTGGCATCTTCTCACTGTGAAAATCACAGTGAGAAGCGCAGAAGCGCCTCTAGCGGCTGTCAATGAGACAGCCACTAGAGGCTGAATTAACCCTAAAGTAAACATTGCAGTTTCTCTGAAACTGCTCTGTTTACAGCTGCAGGGTTAATCCTAGATGGATCGGGCACCCAGACAACTTCATTGAGCTGAAGTGGTCTGGGTGTCTATAATGGTACTTTAATAAATCATTTTCTCCACCACGTCTCTTATGTGTACATTGTTACAGTGTAAGGATTAGGTATTCTTCCAGAACGATTGTATTATTATCATGTCATATTAATAATTATTAGTCGTATAATATCATGAATCGATATATCGCAGCATTCATTGCACTGCAACGAAAAAAGTAGAATTTTCCTTAGTGTTTATTGGAACGTAATAAGACATTGCAGTGAATTATTTGTTACATAGTCCTAATGAAATTCTGATCCATTCTCGTTGTAATTACTAAGAGCAGGGTACCAGCACTCCTCATTCTAGGTTTCATACTATATATTATACTAACAATGTGTCCTGACTATCTATCAGAATTTAATAACATGGAGCAGCGCTAGAACTCATTATTTAATAGTCTAAACCAGCAAACGTCCTAGAATGATTTATGGCAACATATAATAATAGCGCAGTGTTAGAATTAATTCCTGGTATGTACAGCGGCAGTGCAGCGTCTGAATGATATTTTACAATATAATAAAAGAGTGGACACAGAGCTGGATTTAATAATTTATTACAATGCGCTAAACTGGGCAAAAAAAATGCTTGAATGATTTATTATATGGGGAGAGAGCCAGAGTTTATTATTTAGCACAATATTTCAACACACTCCATTGTTAAAATGATAGTTTAATAGAATGTACTATGTAAGAACAGTACTAAAGTGAATGAATTAAAACAGTGTTGGAGCACATTTCATGACTGGTATTAATAAAATTACACCAGTACTAATTCAGCCCTATGCTGGGATTATTTATTAAAACATAAACATGTTGATGTACAATATTGTAATTATTGCAATGTTTATAAACATGAATGTAGTACAATAGGATTGCAATAAATATGAAGAAGAAGCCTCGGATTTTATTGCACAATTTTATACTCTGTTCTTTTCTTGAAACATTTTAATATTTTTTATTGTTTTATTCTTGACTCAATTGAACAGAAGGAAGGAGGAATAGAGAACAATAGAAATTAAAAACATTAGAAATGAAATGTAAGAAACGTTTTTTTTTTACCCCAAATTAACAAACGTGGAACTCTGAATTTAAAATATAAAAAAAATTAGGAATTGTAGAAAGTATAATATTAAATATTGTTACATTGAAAAAAACATTATAACATTTAGGATATTGTCATCAAGAAAGGAAAATTCAGGGCACCATTCAATAAACTGTTGATAATTTCCTTTATGTAAAAATGTCCTGTTAACAAACTTTAAATATAGAAGCTAGCTGATAATACCCTATATGAAGATAATTTAATCGCAATTTTAAGAATAGCACTAATTAGATTGTCTTGTTTGCCTTTGTCGTTTCATTCTGGGTTCTTAAAACGCATATCTATACATCAGTCTATGAGAAGAAAGTAGAAAATAAGATCTTAAATAAACACTCAGAGTGTGTGTACTAGGGATGTACTAAAGAAATATGGCTTAAAAAATCGCAAACATTGAACTGCGTATAGAACATGATAATTTTATTGTATATATTTTTTTGCATTTTAAAGCCGAAATTATAATATTTTCTGACTATATATCAGTCAATGTGCTCAAATAGATCTTAAACTATGTATTTAAGTGTAAAATGTTAAATGTAATAACAGTTCAGTATTTGAGTAATAAATTACAATTAGCTAAACAAACGTAATAATAATTACTAGTAAATCCCTGCTATATAGCAATGTGTGCTGTGAGGTTTGCATGCAGATTTTACATTTCGTAAAAGATGAAAAGCTCAGTAAGTACATTAGTTTAATTGTAACAAAACACAAGTATCATAAGCTACACTTTACTTCTGCAGTGTGAATTGCTGGGAACTGCTGTTGAAATTCAACTTTTAGGCCACTTTGCTTCTTGTCACACCTTTATTTTCAATCTGGCAAGATACTTCAGCTTTCGACAAATGTGTGGACTAAGCTAATGGGAAGGAACTTATATATACATCAGATCAAGATGGGTGCTCCCTTAAGGAATATTGGCAACCACATATTTGGGAACTACATTTCTTAAAGGAATGCAAAGATGTATTCCTAACACTAGAGTGTTCCTCTGCCTCCATGGCTCTCCCAATGATATAAATATCAATTTATACACTTACCGATTCCAGTGACAGTGTTTGGTGCTGGCTCATGCTCTGCCTCCTCTGATGGCAGCTGACGTGGGGGACCTAATGCACATGCAGAGATTTTCCTTGACAGTGGATGTCCTCAAGCAGAGGATGAGGACACCCAGAGTCACTTCGCAGAGCTGAACTTTATGAAGCTCCAGGAAGCGCCTCTACTGGCTGTCTGATAGACAGCCACTAGAGGCAGTCTTTCTACTGGATTGTAAACATTGCAGTTTCTCTAAAGGGGACAGGGACAATGCACCCAGAACACTTCAATGAAATGAAGTGACAGGATACATATGGTGTCCCTTTAAGTAATATGGTAAGAAATCCAGTTTGCACCACATCTTTACAGTAACATGGGCAGGAGAGGAACATCTATGTGTGGTAATTAAAGGTATACTCTAAGAATCATTAACAATAAAGCTTAATGCAGGGGTTCTTTAACCCCCTCCCCCTTATTTTTCAATCAAACCCTTTTTGAGCTATGCTGTGGGCGTTGGACTTTATAAGCCAAAGAAAGAAATTTACTCAGTGACTTTCTCCTTCAGTATCCTCCCATTGTCCATATACGACTGGCATAATGTGTACTGTCTGCACATAAAGTGACACGATGCAGCCTTTTGGGTTAAGGAATAGAATAGCAGAAGATTAGGTATGAAATAAAAGATGGGGATAAGTAGGGGGAGCAGAAGGGAATAAAAAAATGTTACGGCCTGAGGAGAAAAGGGTGAGAGGCAGACTTGAAGTAAAAAAAGATGAAAGTTCAGAATAGGGCAAATAAGTGAAAAATGACAGTGGTATGTGCTAAGGAAAGCATTGTAGACCCCCAAAAGTCACTTTCTCAATATCGAGTGCTTAATATTGCCTATATTAAATATAGTATAGTTGATACAATTGCTTACATATACATATATATATATAATCAGTACACAACGCAATATTCTAACCATGTTCACTAAGTAATAGTATAGCCATGATATGTAAGTAATTGTACGGTTGATACGATTGTTTATAAAGTTAGATATTCAAATAGACAGGCAGAGAGATAGACAGACAGACAAATAAAGAAGTACACAACACAGGTCTGAGAGAAATGATAAATATTCTAGCCATGATACGTACGACTGTTCCTCACATCTGATCAATAACATTAAATCAAGGGCAACTTGTGTGGGGTGCTTAATGTGCCTTAAGCAAATTGTAACAAGATCTATACAACTATCCTCAAATTGCTATTGATCTGCTGCCTAAAATAGTTTTGACACAATCATTCATACATGTGTGCTGTTAGGAGCCCAAGAGAATGTGCGAAGCTTGCTTCTTCATCAAATACTATCTCAAGGACCTTTACAAAACACCAGGAGAAAATTAGATGTCACATGTGCTGAGATAATTAAACTGTAATGATCTTTCTCAATAAGCACAAGTGAAGTACATCATTGGAAATCCATACATAAAAACCTCCTTTGTGCCAAGATGATTGTGTCCCTTAATGTATATCAACTGGAACATCTAAACAACTTCAATGACAAGTCCTATACATATGAGTATACCTCTCATAGAGATCACACGTTCCTATCACGATTATAAGAGACAATGTCCCCTGATTAACTCCTCTGTAGCTGGATACTGCAATGCACTAGTTGGAGTGAGGATGATTTAAAAATCTAAGTAGAATTTGAAGAAACCATAAACTTGACTGGGTCAGGCATCATGAGTCCCTGGTATCCAGTATGAAGATTAAAATTGGGTCCCAATAATAAAAGAAAAGAACATAAATGTAAAAAAAAAATCAAAAAAAAAAATCACATTACTACATTGACAGTTATTTTTTTTTATGAATTATGTGAATGTGTAGATTTTACTCAGTTATCTGAACTGTGCTTTTTTTTAAACGTTTAGCTGAAACACTCCAGAGACCATTAACTGTTTAGAAAACGAGGCACATGTCCACACTGACTAATACTAACCTAGTAATTGATAATAGTAGCAGAGTTTTTTTTTCACAGTAATGAATTATAGAAAAGTTAAGACATAAAAAAGATATTTGAAAATGTATCTATTTTTATTGGAAAATGGCAGTTCAGTTTTAAGCATAGGCGTGCCCTAAAGCACAAACACTAGCCGCATGTATATATATATATATATATATATACATACATACACACACATACATATACTGCTATTTGTGTGTGTGTGTGCTGTTAGTGCGCTGTGTGAGGGTGCTGTGTGTGTAAGGGTGCTGTGTGTGTGTGTGAGGGTACTGTTAGTGTGATGTGTGTGTGAGGGTGTTGGTAGTGTGCTCTGTGGGTGAGGGTCCGGTTTGTGTGTGAGGGTGCTGTTTGTATGCTGTGTGTGAGGGTGCTGGTAGTGTGCTTTGTGTGAGGGTGTTTGTGTATGTGTGTTAGGGTCCTGTTAGTTTGCTGTGTGTGTGAGGGTGCTGTTTGTGTGATATGTGTGTGAGGGTGCTGTTTGTGTCATGTATTTGTGAGGGTGCTGTTAGTGTGCTGTGTGTGAGGGTGTTGTGTGTTTGTAAGGGTGTTGTGTGTGTTTGTGAGGGTGCTGTTTGTGTGCTGTGTGTGTGAGGGTGCTGTTTGTGTGCTGTGTATGTGAGGGTGCTGTGTGTGCGCGTTGTTTGTGTTAGGGTGCTGTGTGTGTGTGGGTGCTGTATGTGTGTGTGTGTTGTATGTTTGGAAGGATTGTGAAGGTGGGGGCAGATTAGTAAACAACCCCAGTAGGGAAGGGGGATCCTTATGCAGGGAGGCGGGATCCTTGCTGTCCAAGGGAGAGTGAACTCTAGCCTGCGGGGCTAGAGTTCACTCTCGTGAGATCTGAGCATTGCCACGGCAACGCTCAGATCTCGCGAGAGGAACCTGGCGGAGCTTCTGTCTAGAACTCCCCGGGTCCTCTCCTGCCTCCCTCCATGCTGCTGTGGGCTGGTGAGGTAGATCTTTGATCTCCCCGCCGGCCCATGGAGGCTTAGAGCAGAGCCGGCACTCAGATAGCGACAGCTCTGCATAAGCCGACAGGGAAGATCCAGAGATCTCCCCTGCCGGCAGGGGTCAAGTCCTGGGGAATAAAGTGTGGGAACTCTCCCAAGATTCCCACCCCCAAAAATTAAATACACTCGTGTTTTCACTGGGGTGCAGTGGGTCGGACGTCTGTCTCCATCTCAGACGCGGCGAGGGAGCTGTGTCCACTCTGCTTCCTCTTGCTGCGCGGGCTGTCTGCTGTAGCTGGGAGCCGGAATATGACGTCAGCAAAATGGCGCGCGGCGAGAGGAAGCAGAGAGGACACAGCTCACTCGCCGCTTGTTGTATGGAAATAGGAGCCCGACTGGGAGGGTGTCCATCACCTCTGCCCCCCCCATGACAGGGGAAACACTGGGGGGGAGGGAGATGGCATTTGGGGGCAGCAGAGTGCCTGTAGGAACAGCGGGAACGGTGTTCCTGCAGGACTCACAGGCATGCCGCAGGGATTAGGGTGTGCCCAGACACACCCAGCATACCCCGTGCACACACCTATGGTTTTAAGTTTAACAAAATTCCCTGTTTAGTAAATAAACTGTATCATAATTTAGATAAAATTACATAAAACAAATCTTCCCTATGTCAGCAAGTTTATAATAGTGTTCAGCTCATTTAAAGGAATTCTCTAGTGCCAGGAAAACAAAAATGTACCCAAATCACAGACCACCCGAAACACACAATGCTGAACATGTTTAGTTTGGGTCATGATTCTGAATTCTGGCCGTAGCACCAAAATAAGAGATGATTGATTGGAAAAACCATCATTGATGGCTCAGGTACAGTCATTTAATGTTGATTTTATTTGCATATTAAGTGAGAAGTGAGCAACAGAGGGGAGAAAAAAATGGATCGTAAAAAAAAATAAATCTATATTTTTACATGATATTTTTAGTAAATATATAAATATAGATTGTTTTACTGATTGTAGAATATTCTACTTTTTGGATTTTTTTTTCACATGCATTTCACACTGAGGCATGGTTGATTTTGAATTATATGAGCAGATGATAACAAAAGATAATACAAGATTTTTCTATTTCCAAATGTCCATGGAGCATGAAGCATGGGATTACCAAAAAGGTTATTAGAATTGTCAGCAAGAATATTGTATGAATTGCATTGACTCTGTAATGCTTGCACACCCACTATGGTGGTGTATATATAAAATGTATTATTTGTGTAAGAGGAACACAATGAGACACGGGACATCAAAGGCAGAGTGTCTCCACACTCCTAATGTCTAGCATGTACTATCAGCTGTTTAACATCAAATTTAAAGGACCACCATAGGCACCCAGACCACTTCAGCTCAATGAAGTGGTCTGGGTGCCAGGTCCATCTCGGGTTAACCTTGCCTGCTGTAAACATAGCAGTTTACATAGGGTTAATCCAGCCTCTAGTGGCTGTCTCATTGACAGCCGCTAGAGGCGCTTCCGCGCTTCTCACTGTGAAAATCACAGTGAGAATACGCTGGACGTCCATAGGAAAGCATTGAGAATGCTTTCCTATGGATTGACTGAATGTGCGCTCAGAAGAGGGAGGAGAGTCCCCAGCGTTGAGGGAGCCCGGTGCTGGAGAAAGGTAAGTGATTTAATCCCTTCCTCCCCCTAGAGCACGGCGGGACGGGGGACATGAGGGTGGAGGGGAGGGTGAGACCTATTAACATTATAGTGCCAGGAAAATGAGTTTGTTTTCATGGCACTATAGTGGTCCTTTAACATCAGTGATATTGTAAAAACTGACTTTTTATTTACAAAGCAAAAAGAACAAATCTGTTTTATAAGAAAATCCTGGAAAGTCTGACTGCGTTATATTTTGATGTGACACAGAATATGCATGTACATGATACAAGTCAAGCCTATTTTACCAGAAGAAAGAAGAATATACATATGAATAAGTATCGAGTAGTAGTGTTATGTTGCATTTTAATCTTTCTACACTGCTCCTCTTTTTTTTTTGACAATCGTTATTTTGAAGATGTTTGTGACATAGAGTAAGAAAATAAACAATTCAGTGTAGAGCAAAAACGTGACAGAGCAATAATATTACATTCTTCATGCTAGGATGATAACAAGCCTTTACTGCTATGCCACTGAGCTTGCCAACATGTGTCTCGATGAATCCATGTCTATATTTCTCCCTTCTCCCAATGCTATGACTCAGTGCTTTAAGGCACGTGACTGCTGGATGACCTAACAATATTTGGTTAATGGTTAGTAATTGAGATAAGGTCTCTCTAATGTGCAGCTGTGGAGGAAGGGACATAAGTCGTTCAGTTAAGGGTCAATAGTTGTGATATAAAAATCAAGCCACGGTATCCAAGTCTGCGTGCACCTGTCTGTGGTACCTTTACGTGTCGCAGTCAGGGATTCCATAGCTTAATTCTGCTCTACCTTCGCTATCCATTGTTGGAGAGATGGTACCCGATCTCCTGGTCCTTGTATCTCTTCTTTGGTGCTCCTCTGTCACAGTGAACAGTGGCGAGTTTACCATACAGCACAACCTTAGGTAGATGATGATCTGCCATCCTGGAGACATGCCCCGCACAGCTTGGACTTCAAAAGCATTGCCTTGATGCTGGTGGTCTCTGCCTGTTTGAGAACTTCGATGTTGGTGATTAAGTCATTCCAATGAATGTTAAGGATTGTGCTGAGGCAGCGCTTGTGAAAGTAGGTGTGGCTGTAGGTAGCCCATGACTCAAAACTGTACAGGAGTCTTCAGTTCAACAGTTCTGAACAAACTGATCTTTGTGCCTCTCTTTGGATACTTGTTGTTCCAGACTCTCTTATACAGTCTGCTGAATGCTCTGTTTGACTTTGCCAGTCTGCTATCTATCTCTTTGTTGATTTTGGCTGTTAAAATTAAAAGTCAGCCTGAAAAAGACCAAAGTTCTCCACCAGCCTGTATCTCATGAAGATTACCATGACCCTGCATCACCACTGGCGAGAGCTGAAGGATTTTTATAAACTTCTTTATACAGATTGGTGTTTAATTAGTCCAAAAGGTGAGATGGGAGTTGTCATCAACCTAGAATTCCTAAAGTCATGCCTAACGTTTGCCATGCACCTTTTTTCACCTGTTTTTAGTCTAGTGCAGACAGATATTGATTTTTAACCCTTTCACCACCAGTCACAGACATGCATGAAGTTCAGTGAGTTCCATATATTTATTGTTTTATCAGTAAAATAATTCTGCTGTAGGCAAAATTCCCTTTTATCAATATATACGTGTATGCATGAGTGTGTTTACAGATTTCACCCATGGTGAACATTTTATGGTGGCAGCAATTCATTATGCTAGTTTTCAATCTAGAAACAAACTTATCTCACTAACTTTATCTCTCTAAGTGAGGACATGGATCTTCCACATGGAACTGTACCAAATGTTTGATAAAATGTAAGTACATTTCATTCTGCTGATCCATACACTTACTTGTAGCACCACAGAATGCGTATCTGATAGGTCAACATAATCTGTCCTTCACAAATCCATGTCGACCACTATTGACGTCACTGTTCAAAATATATCCCTCATAAGCCCTTCAAATATTTCTGCACAAGACATATCAAGCTAACAGCATACCTTACAAGTGTCTTTATTTTGGAGGGACAGTCCCTATTTTTAACCCGATCCCTGTTTGCGATCCTAATATCCCTCTTTTCTAGGAGCTCCATATTGTTGATGTGTCTGAGTGTATTACAGAGCTCCACAGGAATAATACTCATAGTAATATGTTTTTAAACTACAATAAATGTGTTTTGGAAGTCAGTCTGTGTGAATAAGATACATTGTTCTTGGTCTAAATTACATTTTAGTTGCATAAATTGTTATTAATTTAGTCACCAGAAATTTCTCCAAACAGCCCTGTGCCTGGACAGACCCCACTCACACCCCAAAAATTAAAGTGTCCCTCTTTGTACATTTGAAAGTTTGGGAGGTAATCAACAGGTCTCTAATTTCCATGCTTAGATTTGAATCCCTTGTGAAATACAGACACTAAATCTGCTTCACACAAATATTTTGGAATCATTACAGAAAAATGGATTCCTTGTAACATATATCACTAAAAATACCTCTTGTATCTCTCATATTTATGAATATATAGATTCACGAACATAGCAGACCTCAGAATCTCTCAGATTTCCAGACCGTGTCAAAATTGCCACAGGTAACAGTTCTAGTTAGCAAAGATATACCAAATCAATACTAAACCTTCAATGATGATTATGCTCTGATCCTACAACACTGCTTTCTCATTTTACAAAACAATTCTGCTTCTGTAAACTATCCAAGCTTCAGCATAACTTCACCACTTTCAACTATTCTTTATCCGCCTGTAGCTTTAACTCACTCCTAATTCATTATTTCAAATCATTCCCTGTCTTTTATTGGCACACATGACATTCACACACGCTCCTAAGTCAATCAGTAAGAGTAACATATTTCTCCTGCTTGCACTGTGACACTAGGCTATCGTCCATCTCATTAATTCTACTTTAACACTCCTGGTACTGGAACTATACAGGTACTGGTACTATAATCACTGACATACCTAATTAACCTCTCTCAGCCTACTAGAATGCTTTCAATATGCCTATGCTATCAATATGTGCAAATACAAATGTTCGTTCCATGCCTCCTTCTCTGGCAACTTACCATTTTCTTTGTACCTCCCAACATTTCAAATGGACAAAGAGGGACACTTTAGTTTAGGGGTGTGATTGGGGGTGTGGCCAGGAGCGGGGCTGTTCTGGGAAATTTTATGAGACTTACTAATCACAATTTATGGAAGTAAAATGTAATTTAGAACAAGAACAATGCATCTTATTTACACAGACTGTTTTCTAAACACATTTATAGTAGTTTAGAAACATTACTGGGAGTATTATTACTGTGGAGCTCTGCTATAGACTTAGACACACCAACAATATGGGGCTCCTAGAAAAGAGGAGCAGAGGGATTTGAGCCCAAACTAGAGGCTGCCCCTCCTAAATATGGGCACTTGCAAAGTATGTGAAAGCAAACTCTACATCTTGTTTTGAACAATGTTATAGCATACATTTAAGTGATACTCAGTTTTTTAATCCCACCTCAATATGTTTTATTTTTCTCATATTTTTTTTTATAATTCTTTGTTGTGCATGAGATTAACAGAAGTTCCTGCAATGCCCCAACAGCAAGTACAGGATCAGCATTATACAGGACAATTCATTTGTAAGGCACATAAAATAACCACTGTTTTGAGAACAAAGGAGAGAGTTTGCACAGTCTAAAAAAGTCGTTATAGCATTAAGTAAACTGGCTATGTGCATAAGAGTGATGACAATAAGGTGGTTCATAATAGAAGGGTTAACAACGAGTACCTTCTGAGATTTAGCTCCTTAGGAGGCCCCGAAGTTAGTGGGATGAAAGGCAATGCAAGACAGAAGCAGAAAGAAGTAGTTTGGGAAATGCTCTTTGCGTTAAATTATAGGACAGGTAAGTCCCTCACTGAGTTTTAATAAGAGGCAAAAGGTGAGCAGCCATAAGCCTTTCAGTGCCCAGTCCATGAGCAGAGTTCATCCTATGCCCTCCATGGGCAGAGCACAGTCCTGCAGCAGGGAGGTATATGGCAGGTCCCCAAGTCATGATGCTAGCAGGCTGGTCCAAGCCAAAGACCTGGTCAGGAGCCCCTGCAGCCCCTCTGGGTTCAGCTTTGGACCGCAACAGTTGTACCTTGGACACTTGATGAGTACCAGCGTTTGCCAGAGCAGAACTTGCTCAAGTATATACAGCATAGGTGATATAATCCCCACCTAGGAATAGGATGATGCCAGGAAGTAGTAGATGGAAAAATAAAAGTATAAACTGTTATACTTTTATTTTTCCATCTACTACTTCCTGGCATCATCCTATTCCTAGGTGGGGATTATACCACCCATGCTGTATATACTTGAGCAAGTTCTGCTCTGGTAAATGTGAGTACATTACTTTATTTTTTCACGTTATATTCACTAGTACTTACTTCACCATTGGAGTATCTTTTTTGTATTTACTATATATGTCCTGCAAACTGCACTTCATTTGAGCCATTTGCGACACCTACACCATCACATATCCTTAGACGGGATTGTTCCGTCCATGCGTTATAACAGCTGAGCTCTGAATTAGCTCAACCAAATGTGAGTAAAATAACATAAAATCACACACCATTTATTCATTGTACATACTGTAATGCACTATTATCATGTTGCTGTTCTTTATTTTTTAGGTCAAATGTGTATACAGTCTTAAAAGACCTCTGTACGTATTAATTTCTGTACATAATCTTTGGGCGAGGTTTCTCTCTATTTTTCCAATTCTCACTATCCACAAGGTTTGGGAATCCTTGTATTAGTTTCTGCAGCCCATTTTCATCCTGTGTCATACTATAGTGAGCGCCTACTATCTTTCTTTTTACACCATTGATTACATGTTATCGCAACTCTGCCACCATATTGTCGATCCCTCACCCCATCCTACTACCTTCACCTTAAAAATACTGCTTGATTTGAACCATTTCCCAATTATTATGCCACAACAACTCAAGTTAATTCTTCTGTTTTAGATCATCATCTTCCTCCAGTCCTTTAACCCCTTAAGGACCAAGCTTCTGGAATAAAAGGGAATCATGAGATGTCACACATGTCATGTGTCCTTAAGGGGTTAAATGATTTGAACTCCCCATCTTTAATGATTCTCTCAAAACTACTTTCATTAAAGAGACATAAACCATGTTCCACAACTCTCTACTTTCAAAGCTTCTGAATAGAATCCACAATCTGCCCATCACATTTCTTTTATACATTTCATGCAATGTTTTGCGCCATATGCTCTCGGGCATATACACAGATTCACAATGCCAGACCCAGTCAGTCAGAAATGTAAACAATCGGTGTCTATCACATTGTATATATGTGTGCATGTATCAATATGTGTGTATATTTGTGTGTGTATTTGTGTGTGTGTGCCCATAGAGGCAACATGGCTGCAATATACACTGCTCAAAAAAATAAAGGGAACACAAAAATAGCACATCCTAGATCTGAATGAATTAAATATTCTTCTGAAATACTTTGTTCTTTACATAGTTGAATGTGCTGACAACAAAATCACGCAAAAATAAAAAAATGGAAATCAAATTTTTCAACCCATGGAGGTCTGGATTTGGAGTCACACTCAAAATTAAAGTGGAAAAACACACTACCGGCTAATCCAACTTTGATGTAATGTCCTTAAAAGAAGTCAAAATGAGGCTCAGTAGTGTGTGTTGCCTCCACGTGCCTGTATGACCTCCCTACAATGCCTGTGCATGCTCCTGATGAGGTGGCGGATGGTCTCCTGAGGAATCTCCTCCCAGACCTGGACTAAAGCATCTGCCAACGTCAACTCTGTGGTGCAACGTGACATTGGTGGATGGAGTGAGACATGATGTCCCACATGTGCTCAATTGAATTCAGGTCTGGGGAATGGGCGGGCCAGTCCATAGCATCAATGCCTTTGTCTTGCAGGAACTGCTGACACACTCCAGCCACACGAGGTCTAGCATTGTCTTGCATTAGGAGGAACCCAGAGCCAACTGCACCAGCATATGGTCTCACAAGGGGTCTGAGGATCTCATCTCGGTACCTAATGGCAGTCAGGCTACCTCTGGCGAGCACATGGAGGGCTGTGCGGCCCCCCATAGAAATGCCACCCCACGCCATTACTGACCCACTGCCAAACCGGTCATGCTGGAGGATGTTGGAGGCAGCAGAATGTTCTCCACGGCATCTCCAGACTCTGTCACGTCTGTCACATGTGCTAAGTGTGAACCTGCTTTCATCTGTGAAGAGCACAGGATGCCAGTGGTGAATTTGTCAATCTTGGTGTTCTCTGGCAAATGCCAAACATCCTGCACGGTGTTGGGCTGTAAGCACTACCCCCACCTGTGGACGTCGGGCCCTCATACCACCCTAATGGAGTCTGTTTATGACCGTTTGAGCAGACACATGCACATTTGTGGCCTGCTGGAGGTCATTTTGCAGAGCTCTGGCAGTGCTCCTCCTGTTCCTCCTTGTACAAAGGTGGAGGTAGCGGTCCTGCTGCTGGGTTGTTGCCCTCCTACGGCCTCCTCCACGTCTCCTGATGTACTGGCCTGTCTCCTGGTAGCGCCTCCATGCTCTGGACACTACGCAAACCACCTGGCCACAGCTTGCATTGATGTGCCATCCTGGATGAGCTGCACTACCTGAGCCACTTGTGTGGGTTTTAGACTTCGTCTCATGCAACCACTAGAGTGAAAGCACCGCCAGCATTCAAAAGTGACCAAAACATCAGCCAGGAAGCATAGGAACTGAGAAGTGGTCTGTGGTCACCACCTGCAGAACCACTCCTTTATTGGGGGGTGTCTTGCTAATTGCCTATAATTTCCACCTATTGTCTATCCCATTTGCACAACAGCATGTGAAATTGATTGCCACTCAGTGTTGCTTCCTAAGTGGACAGTTTGATTTCACAGAAGTGTGATTGACTTGGAGTTACATTGTGTTGTTTGTGTTCCCTTTATTTTTTTGAGCAGTGTATATAATATACACTAATTACAGACTGGATGTTGGAAGTGTCTATGTTACATATTCTATACATGTTATTTACTTACAACACTGTTTTCTTGTCTATAATTTATTAATTTAGTAAATGATTTTATAAAAAATAAGTTTTTTTTATGAGTGTGTGTGTACGAGCAAAATATTATTTTTGTTTCCAATAAATTATGTGCTATCATTACTGAAACATTACTTTTCAGGACACCCAAAATACTGGGGCTGTTATATGTTTGCAAATGACTCGTTAGTGAACAGGTTAATTATTTGAATAAAGCGCAGCTCTCGTGATAACAGACGACAGACATGCTAACAGCAATGTTCCTACCTGCAGATATAGTTATCCTTGCATGAGTCCAGAGGTGTGAGGCAGTTCGGTTTCTCCTTAGACTCATACGAGCAAGCGGGGACAATAGTTTGTCTTCTCCTCTCGGCACACGCTGTGTCCTCACATGGGCAGAAGAGCAGTTCATTGGTGTACTCAGCTGGCACTCGGTCAAAAAACTTCCTCAAGGCTTTGTGGCACTTGGAACGATTACAAAAACCAGTCCGAGTCGTTTGTCGAATGCATACAGTAACATAATCCGTTCGCAACTTTTGGCAAGTTTCATCTACATTGCAGGCCTTGGCCGCATCTAAACATCGATTAACTTGTGTAACTTCATTCTCAGAACCTGTAAGACAGTGGAAAAATATATTATTTAGCAGAATGCTCAGCCAGTAATAACTGCAGATATATTTAGTTTAGTATATTTAGTCTACAACTGCTGAATCAGGACATTTATATTAAATATGTTTTTTTTACACAACCTGTTAACTAAAGGTTAGTAATTAGTTATACTATTTGATTTACGTCATATGCAAGCCTGCCCTGGGCAAATAAGAATAAGATGCAAATGAGCAAATTGAACTTTCAATTTTTTTTTAAATGTTTTTCTTTCCTCAAACTTTCTATTTAATTTGCATTTGTTCCTCTTAAAGTACCGAAAATAACAACCTTTCTTTGTGGGACTATTGGTTCCCTTCTATTACTGCCATCCCCCTTTGGTAGCAAAAATAAAAGTTAAAATAAATTTACTCACCTCATTCTGGCAGCACACCTCTTGTAAAGGTGATTGGTGATCTCATCCAAGCCAATGCTCATAGAGAAGCATTGGTGGATGAGATATACATGTGCGGCCAGGGCCACCATCAGAAATTGTGGGGCCCCTAACACAGCTCAAGGTCTGGGCCCCCGTGTGCCCGCCTCCATGCCCCACCTCCAAATCCCGCCCACAGGAATACACACACACAGACACAAAAGGACACAGACACACACACAGAAAGATACACACATACTAACAGACACAAATACTGAAACAGACATACATATAGATACATACACAGATACACACACACACACACACTGACATACAGACACACACACTGTTGTACATACTTACTCACATACTGACACACATACATACTGACAAACAGACATGCATACAAACTGACATACAGACATACATACACATAAATACATACTGACATACATACATAATGGCATACATACACATACATACTGATATACATACACACATACACACACACACATATACATACACAGATACACACAGACATACTGACATACACACACACACAGACATACATACTGATAGAGTGACATACACACACACAGACATACATGCATACCGACATACATACTTGCAGACACACACACAGACATACATACATACTGACAAACAGACATACATACAGACATACACAAACATATACGTCGCGCGAGGGAGCTGAGCAGACAGCTCAGGGGAAAGTGCTCCCTCGCCAGACGCCCGCCCGCCCGCCCGCCCAGCAGCCTGCCTGGCTTGTCAGTTAGCCGCAAGACATACATACTGATAGAGTGACATACACACACACAGACATACATGCATACCGACATACATACTTGCAGACACACACACAGACATACATACATACTGACAAACAGGCATACATACAGACATACACAAACACATACAGAGAGACACATACTGACATACACACAGACATACATACACACACAGACACACACACACACAGACATACACACACACACACAGACATACATACACACACACACACACAGACATGAAGGAAGGCTGAGGAGAGCGGCTGCCTCTCCCTGGTTCTGTCACTCGCAGGCCGCGGTGAGCCACCTCGGGCTCCCAATTATAGAATGCACTCAGGTAAGGTAGCAAGAGGTACACCAAGCAGGGACGTTTTAGCTGCAAGGCAAACAAGGTATTTGCCTTGGGTGGCATTTTCCAGGGGGCGGCAAATAAACACGCCCCAAATGCCTTGTTAGCCTTGCGGCTAACTGACAAGCCAGGCAGGCTGCTGGGCGGGCGGGCGGGCGTCTGGCGAGGGAGCACTTTCCCCTGAGCTGTCTGCTCAGCTCCCTCGCGCGACGTCATATTCCGGCTCCCAGCCTCACTCTGCGGGCGGCGTGCCTAGGGCAGCACAAAACCAGGATACACCACTGACACCAAGGCACCTGTAACTCGGGTAGTGCACCCTGGCGTATACACAAGCTCAATATTGGTGAGTATTGTCGGATAATCGGTAGATACAGTAGGAGCCCAGCTAACATGCGACTTTTCAGCCTGCAGGTCAGGCTGTTTTTACAAAACGGCAATGATTAACATTGAACTGTTAAAATGAGAGGAGCACTACACCCACACCACTTCATGGAGATAAAGCGGTTTGGGTGACTTTAGTGGTCATATAATATAACAATGGCACATTTCAAACCTATTCTCTTCTTGATTTTCCTTAAAAATATTATAATTTGTTTTCCGTTTTTTGGTCTAGTCATCTACCAAATATTTTGTACTCCTTGCACTGTTTTCAATTACACACAACTCGCTGCTTGTGATTTAAATGTTTACTTTTTTATAGGTTGCAGTTTCATGAGAATTATCCTTAATACTCTAAAACCTACTAACACTTTGCATTAGGATAACTTCAAAGATGCCAGGGGCTCGGAACTCTGCTCCCAATGCAGCCTGCACCTATAACAGATAATTTAAGAGGGGAAACTGTAGAGCTGTGGCTTCACCCATAACATTTTCAACTCCTAGCTCACTCTCTGGCAATTTATGTTAACAATAAAGGGTGGTAGTCGGCAGAACTAAACATCTCATTCAACTATGCTAAGTCTGTAATAGAGTTTCGGCAAAAAAGAGTAGGTAACATAAGTCTGTACTTTTGGGTGGCTTAGATCTCCTCCCACTGGTGGGTGAGGAACTGTAAACCCAAAACCCAACGATACACGTGGAGCATGATACGGAATATATGCCACCAGCTATTCGAGTTTCAAAGTGAATTAAAAGTGAATTTCAAATTTAAGGTCAAGATTGTAGAAAGTCATCTTTGCTCCGAGCACCCTTTTAAAAAAAGTGTTCTAAGTCTTTCTCCTTTCAGAACTGAGGGCCTAGCAGCAGAACTGAGGGCCTGCTCTCCAGAGCAAGCTATCCTGCTTACTCAGTGTGGACTTGTTACACAGTCTGAGAACTTACTGGCAGAGAGCTAACACTTTAGCTTAAAAAACAAAATCTTCTTAATAAAAGTGGTATCAGGAACAGGTAGAGGGGACAATACCCTTGCTTGAAAGAAGAATCATGCAGAAGGGATGATACGTGTCTAGAAGAATGATTGGGTAGAGGGAACGTAAGCTGCCTGAAGAATCGCTGTTATGGTCCTTGCCGTCAGAGAAGAAGGGATGGAAAATAAAGAGGGACGAGTGTGGATTGCCAGCTGGGGACTAGTCACACATGTTCCTACTACACTTATAACATGTGACTTTGGAGCTTAGTCTGTTGCAAAAGTTGATTTCTAGTTCCCTAAGCTTTCTTCTCAAAAGTACAACAGTACCAGGTTATTTTTATAAGGCAGGAACTACTACATGTTAAACACATTTAAAAAAACATAACAGCCAAGTGCCAGATGGGAAATCTACCAGGATGTTATAATTACAACTAATAATACAAACATATTGTTTTAATGCACTGTTAAGATTCCGGGCATGTTACGAAGATTGGATTTTACATGTGATGATTGTCTTCTCGTATGAAGCAGAACAATTTCTGACTACTGAAATGTGTTTCCTGAGTAGGCTCCAAAAAAACAGGACATCTGGTCACTTAATATCACTATTCATCATCTCAAGATTTCCTTAGTGCCCAATATTCCATGTGTTTCAGGAGAGGCACTGCTCACTGTGCATAAATCCAAATCTTTCAGCGTAACAGGGATGCACATGCAGTCCTTTTACAACCCTAAGGGAGATGTTTCATAATTGAAAGCAGGTGGTATGTACACAAGTGCTGGGAGTATTTTTGGCTAACTCTGGATTTCAAGGACTGATTTCATCCCGTTATTTCCTTCCCAAGCTTGCTGGGTGGTTTGTAAAATATGGACAATATTCTCTTGAGAGCCTACTGTCCAATGAGTTTGCAGATTTATTACATTCCGTTATAGAACTGGAGATGTTTAAAAGCTACTCCTGGAAGGGTTTAGATACATGTATTTCATATGGCATAAAGGAACGTAACATGTACAGAATGTAAAGCAATCATTTGTGAGGTCTCTGTCAAAACAACCAGATTATATTCATCCATAACACATTTTTTTTGTCCTGTGTTTATAGTTAACATGACCCCTAAACAAACCCCTTTTGGGACTCCCCATTTTACAGAGAACAAGCTCTTTAGAGCAACTTGTTAGATCTAAAAAATGGCTCTTTATGCAACAGAATCTGAAGTAATTTGACGCGTCTTTTTATTTGTCTTAAGAAGCCTGTGATCTCGTAATACCAGCCTTCATAACATAATTACTTAAAACATCTCTCACATTGCAGGTTTTGTTTTTAAATGAATTCTAATCTCCTTGTTTTTTTTTTATAAATTCACATAATTTTTTTTAATGATACAGTAGAGAAAGTAAAGAGTACTTTTTCGTATGGACAGCAATTTTGGTAATGAGCGGAGCTTATTCAAAGTTCTATTTTGGTTGCTAAGCTAATTTTTTGCACAATCCATCAGTCAAAAGAATCCAACAAAATGACAAACTGCATACACCATGGACAGAGGAGAACAAACTGGAGGTGCCCGGGTAATGAGATCCGCCACAAGGAAGAACAGATTATAAAGGCAAATAAAGGACAGAAGGGGTGTAATCGCTAAGATACAAGAGGCAAGGAAAGGTAACTGAAAGAAAATAACTGTGATTAATAGCTGTGCCACTTTAAACCTTAGATAGTAAATCTGTGACCATAAAGAACAATATAGACTGGAGTTAATCTTCCTTGTTAAGTGCTTATAAAGACACCCTGTATTGAGGTTTGTCAATGATGTGGTTTGTGTCACTGGTGATGTGCCAATGGGTGGACGGGCTAGACCCACTCAGAGCAGCACATTTGCAGAGCTATGTTGAAGTGATTGATTGAATGCCCTGCGTGCTGTTTGTGTAGGGCAAGCACACTTAATAATTCACTAACACTATGTTTGCTGACTTTGCGGCTAGTGAAGTTTTCAGATGGTGAGGCTGATCGTGATCACATGGCCCTGGAGGTCCAGAGAGACAGAGTTGCTGCAGGGGGACTGCCTATGTTATCAGGAAGTCCTCCGATCGGGATCATGGATTCAACGAACATGCTTTGCTGTTCTGCGGTGTTTAAGCCCACCCTTTTTTAGGACAACATAGCAAGCCTGCCATCCTGACGAGCTGCCTCACTACACGCCTCCTAGAGCTGCAATTGGTCGTGACCATCACATGACTGGCTATCTGATATCTGATATAAGGAGACCTGGCAAGTGACTCTCTTGGCCCAGCAAACCAATTTGACAAATTTCAATGTGTAAAAATTTAAATTGACAAGCTTTTTATTTACCCCTGTAACATTCCAAAACACCATGAAACCTGTACACAGGGGATCATCATTGTGCTTGTAGGAGATTACAGCATACACATATGTGTGATTTATTGCAGTAAAATCGAAGAGTATGACATGCACAGTTAATATATCATGCAGAACTAAAAAAATAAAAACATTCTTAATTCATCACACTTTTTTAGATTGTGTTCATATTAAATTATGTTTCATATAAAAATATGTGATGTGAAATGAAAGCACTGTTTCTCATGACCAAAAATATATATATAATAAGAGTGGGCACAATTAATATGAAAGAAATAAATTATGACTGAACAAACATGTAGATCAAACTCTAGGTTGTCTACTGGTTTTGTTTTGGTCAGAACTTGTACAGTTGCCTCTGTCCTTAAGGGGTTAAAGAAGAAGATTGCAAACACCTGAACAGTTACAGGCAATTAGCTAACAATATGCAAAAATGTGGCACACTGCATTTTCTCTGTGTGAGATGAGATGTACATAGGCGGTTTGTCCGTTTCTATGTAATCCATCCTTAGAAAAAGTGCTGAGAAGACACCAAGACCATCTCTTTTACCACAATGTTACTCCGACCACACAAAAGCTTTCAAGGCAAATAAGGCTATCTATTGTACTGAAAATTGGTCGTGACTAGCAAAAAAGATTTCCATGAAATGTATTGATAGAAAGCGCTAAAAATACCCCGATTTGTATTACAACTATCTTCTCCGTGAAGGTCTTTCAATAAATGTTGTTGTTCATAGAACGCTGACAGACCACATAAAAAGCAAATGAATCCTAGTAATTAGTCTGAAAGGGGTCAAATGAAAGAATAGGAGGACGATTTTAAACCAAAATCAAAAGCCTCTAAGCAGAGCAAACAAGACGAGAACACACTTTGTAAAACTGCAATCATGCTTTAAATAAATACCTGTAAAATAAGACAATAAAAAGCTTAGAAATGATTTGAACGGAAGCTCAGTCTGCCTTAGTGGTAATAGTGATCTCTAAGTCCTAACCTAACCCTCAGTCTGATCTCTATTAGAGTCAAATAACATATCATTTTTTTTATTTCTTTAAGGAATGCTCCACTCTTCATAACCACTACAGTGCCCCATTTTAGGATGGTTTGAAGTCTTTACTGGGGTTTATTGGATTCTGCTCCCCATTTCCTCTACATTGGCTAAGAATGTCAGCTGATAGCCCCTTAATAATGAGCTAACCATGCACTCAAAGAACCATAACCACCACGACAATTTTAGAACAGTTTGACTTCTTACTTGGCGTCTACAGGATGCCACTCCTAGCCTCCACTACTACTTAGTGAGAGCTAGAAGCTCTCTTCACTGAAATAAGCTCAGTAGTGCAGATAGAGGGTCACTAGCTGAGAGCAATCCGCTGACTCTCTTAGTCAATGTGCTATCAATGCAATGCAGTTTTTTTTGTCGAGATTAGCATGTCTATGTGTCAGTTGAAATATAGGTAGGTAGATAACCAAATCTCACGGCTGAGACTCTGTGTAACGAGGCCTTGCTGCACTGTGAATATATACCGTGCTTGTATGCAACAGGTCCTGTGCCGACACTCATACACCATGCCTTAATAGATTGTAAATAACACTCCAGGTACACTTTTCAAGTTAAGACAAACGAGGTATATTTACCACTACATCCCCCCACATCAGAACACTAATGCAGAAGGTGAACCCTATTTATATCGTCCCATCCACATCAACACTACGTTGGTTATGAATAAAAAGAAAAATATGTCTGTAACATAAACTATACCAATGCACAGAAAGATAAATGATAATACAGGAATACGTGATGGCGGTAACAGCAAAATAGCAAATTGCAGGGCGTTAGTGGATTATTTTACTCTGTTTGGTTTAGTTGTCCCCTTTTTATAATTATTTATCTATTAAACAAATACACGAACACAAGAGATAGCTCAATGTATTTTGTCTTGGTAAAATACATTTTTTAAAAATAAAAAATAAAGTAAAATATATTTTGTACCATTTGCTACACAGGATTCATATTAGAACACTTACCTGCTGTGATGGAAGCCAATCTCACATAGTCAAAACCCCTTACAAATGGCTCATATGGTGAACTCTCTGGAATGCTTATACCTAGACAGAAAAAGAGAACCCCAAAACATTTTATTGCAATTTATATAATTATAAATTCAAGTTACATGTACTAAACAATAAATAATTACTCTTATTGGCACTAGATCAGGTCTTGGATTATGAGTAAGATAAACCCTTACTGGGATCAAACCACAAGAAAGTGAACCCACTGGAGACATACCATATGTTCTTCACATCAGTAAGGAGGTGCTGGGCAGTTAGGGGATGGAAAGTGCTAGCTAAAGGACAACTCTCGTTTTGTTTTGTTTTTAATAAAAACATTAGATTTCATTAAACTTGATTTTTTTTTTTAAATGATGTATATCGAATTTTTGAGAAAATTTTACTTTTTTTTTTTATCCGGCTGAGCAGCCATGTAGAGTAAGACTGTACTGTTATCTAACCAATTTCTGCTCAACCCAACTTGCCTGCTGCTGCGATCTCTCTGTGTGAAACTGCAGCAGTTACCAAGTTAGGCTGAGGAGAAGATGGTCAGATTAGAACTGTAATAAACGTTTAACTCGCAAGTTGGAATAAACTTGGAATTAATAATAACATTAATAACTAAAAATAATAACTTAAAAACCGAGTGTAAAGTCAGAGTCCACACTCCTTGCTTTCGGCAATTCAATAATATTTATTAATAAAGGCTAATCAAACAAATAAACAATACATATACATTTGAAATAGGCTAGTATATGTTGCTACTAAAACTAATCATTGACTGAATGGAAAGTAGGCTAAATTAACATAATAAAACAGGCATACCGTGTTTCTCCGAAAATAAGACCAGGTCTTATATTAATTTTAGTCACAAAAAAACACACTATGGCTTATTTTCAGGGTAGGGCTTGGAGCCAGTCTGTCAGCCGGTGTCCGCGCTGTGTAACCCCCCCAGAGACCCTCACCTCCCCCTCCCTGTAATATTCTCCCCTCCCTCCCTCCCTGTAATACTCTCTCCCCTTCCTCCCTGTAATATTCACCCCTCCCTCCCTCCCTGTAATACTCTCTCCCCTCCCTCCCTGTAATACTCTCCCCCTCCCTCCCTGTAATATTACCCCCTCCCTCCTGTAATATTCTCCCTCCCTCCCTGTAATATTACCCCCTCCCTCCCTGTAATATTCTCCCCTCCCTCCCTGTAATACTCTCCCCCCTCCCTCCCTGTAATATTATCCCCCCCCTCTCCCTGTAATACTTCCCCCCTCCCTCCCTGTAATATTATCCCCCCTCCTCCTGTAATACTCTCCCTCCCTCCCAGTAATATTATCCCCCCTCCCTCCCTGTAATATTATCCCCCTCCCTCCCTGTAATACTCCCCCCCCCTCCAATCTTCTCCTCACCTCCCCTGTAGCGTGGCCGAGCTCCTCTCCGGTCAGCGACCCGGCCGGACTGACAGGAAGTGCACTTAAAATGGGAAGCTGCATCTCAAGATACCCAGTGTGCACTTCCTGTCAGTCCGGGCGGGTCGCGGACCGGAGAGGAGCTCGGCCACGCTACAGGGAAGGGGAGGTGAGGCAGTGCGGCAGCCGTCTGAGCGCTCTCTATAGAGCGCTCAGGCGGCTGAGGCATTTAAAGGGCCGGCAACCGCCGGCCCTGCCTAGGTCTTATTTTCGGGGTAGGGCTTATATTGCAGCCCACCCCGAAAATCTAGCTAGGGCTTATTTTCGGGTTAGGTCTTATTTTCGGGGAAAAACGGTAGACACGTGATACAGTTACCACTCCATTGATCAGCAGCTGAGAGTAAGAGAGAGAGGGTGTGTATAGTGGGGAGAGGGGAGAGAGAAGAGAGAAGGTGAAGAGAGGTAATTCAAAGAGAGAGAGAATGTGCTATTCACAGGGCTTTAAACAGGTTAGCCCCTCCTTTTGCTGGACCACCTCCCTTAGTCAATCCCTTAGGATGTAACAGAACCAGAGTGCCTCCTGGGGGAAGGGGTATTGCATTGGAAGGGGATGGAGGAGGAGTTTATCAACAACCCAACTGATTTTGCCTGGTGAAAGGCCATGTGCTTCACAGAGGACTCCATTATTGCCTAAGGATAGAATGGGGGCTTGAATCCCTGTATTAGAACACAATAACACTTCATTGGCATACAGTTTGGCTGTTAATCACATCCCCCCACTTATTACAAGAACAGTAAAGTGTGACCCAATATGGCTGCTCAACCCTCTAAAAAAAGGAAACTTGCTAAAAATAAATAAATATATATATATATAATTCAATTCATGTAATTCAGATATAATTTTACTGTAAAAAATAACAAAACATGCTTTGCATCAGGACATCAAACTGCAACCGACAAAGTCACATCCAAGCAAATGTAGCTAGAACAGGAAACAGGAATAAACTATACTTCAAAACTATATATACAGTCCCACCTATTATATGTTTATTATATATAATATATGATGTTACTACTCCAGTACTACAACGCTCAGTTTATTCTGCTTCTGCAAACTGCATATTGACTTTGAAAGTCCACTTACTCCCGACAACCTTTTGTCTAGATGGAGGTTCTGTGAGTGTCCAGATATTTTTGACTGGTATAAATCTCTTCTGCTGCTTCCTCTTTCCACTTGCCAGCTTCTCCTTGACGGAATGTCCTCCCAGGACGATGATATACGTGCTCTATATTTTGCTGCACAGAACGTTTGAGAGGCCTGTACCCCTTTTGATATTCACATTGTTCTTTGTCCTGCTGTTTCGTCAAATAGTTATGCTGGTTTATTCCACATTACCCTGACTCTTTCCTGTCTTCCTCAATCAGGGTCCTTTTCTGGATCAGTAGGCAGATACCCTTCTTGGTTCTCAAGGAACATGAAGTGTTGTTTCTGCTTTTCTAGAAGTGTACACTGTTGTTTATCAGGACATTGTTAGCTTTGAGATGTACAATCCCATAGCCTAACAATAGTTACTATAGCCAACCAGTCAAGACTTTAAATCCAAACAGTGTGATGTACTCTGTACTGCTTTTTGATCTATTCATCAAATCATAAGACGTGTTTGGAAAAATCATTCATGCTAGACTCTTACACAGGTATATAACTGTCATTACACCATTTTACAGGATCTGTTCTGTTTGTTGTTATTTAGAGTTTACATATGGCCTTCGAGACGAGCGTGTGTATGAGTCCTTGGGCAGTTCACCCTGTCTGAGGGAGGAGAAGCAAATCACCTTGTGGCCCTACATGCTCAGTCTCCTGTTGGTTAGACATGTTGGAAGGCAATAAAAAATTAAGAAAATAATTACTTGCGCACTATCCTAAATCCCATATGCATATTTAAATAACTGGAGGTTTTCAGTACATCTTCAATTGCCATTAGATGCTAGCCCACCTGCCACATCAAGGCAAACCTTTTAGGTAGGTCCTACACTAACAATTCACCATGCTTGCTTCAGCTTTATGTTGGAAATGAAGTTGTGAGAAGAAACGAACACCAGGATGTGTAAGAACTAATGGGATTGCATATGGAAAGAGGAATACAGTCTCTGCCAATATTGAGAGGACTGGAATTAGGCTAGGGATATGAATGATGCAATTTCCACTCAGCTAATAGCAGGATGAAATACTGAGAATTGTTGTCCAAATAAAAGAATACCTAACTCCATGCCATCACTGACACTATGAACCTAAACAAAATAACTGTCTCAATGCGTCCTTTAATGACTCAATAACTAAAGAGTTTCTAATATCATATGACTATCCTATAATTAGTCATTTTTTGTTCCTTTTTAATAAACATCAGACATGAGCTTTTCTATTCCATTTGTGGTATGTTAAAACTGTTTTGTATTTTATCATTATTATTTTCTCACATAATTACAGTCTACATTGTACTCTGTAATGGAGGCTCCCGAGACAGGTATCCATTGCTATGGAAACACACAGGTGGGAGTTCTGCCAGTGCCTCTTTGCGACTCATTTTGGATACACTCTCCCGTCCTACACTTTCACTGTGCTTCATCCAAAAAAGCAGTTTATGCAAAATGAAGAAAATGAATCAGTGGCGTCAGCACTGTTGGCAATACAGTGTTTGTTTGTTTCTTGTTTTAGTGGTTTTAAATACTCCTTTTTTCAATTTAGAGCCTGATGTTCAGCAGATGTGTTCCCGGTGTCTCTGTCAATATGTAAACGTATGTGGAATCTTTTCTGCTTCCTATTCAGATGATTATGGTCCCACCTAATGTCTATTTTTTGTCCTCATTGGTTAAAGGTCATGTGATGCTCCCTCCATAAATACTTACAGGGATACTATAACCATCAAAACAACTTTAGCTTAATAAAGCAATTTTGGTTTATAGATCATGCCCCTGCAGTCTCAATGCTCAATTCTCTGCCATTTAGGAGTTAAATACTTTTGTCCATGCAACGCTAGTCACAACTACCCTGGCTGTAAGTCATAAAGCCTGCACGAAAATTTTTTTTATTTTTTAAAGTCTTTAAAAGTTTTTTACCTCCTGCTCTGCAATTTCAACTTTAATCACACACAGAAGACTCCTGCAAGGTCTATCAAACTATCAACAGAGCAGGAGATAAGATATTCTAAACTAAACTGAATTTGCAATAAAGGAAATGTAAACATTAGATCTCTATATACAGGAAGTGTCTAGGAAGGCTGTGCAAGTCACATGCAGGGAGGTGTGACTAGGGCTGCATAAACAAAGTGATTTAACTCCTAAATGACAGAGAACTGAGCAGTGAGACTGCAAAGGCAATGACAATACACCAAAATGGCTTCATTAAGCAAAAGTTTATTCGGTCTCTTTAACGTTATCCAGGGTAGAGGTTATTGGATAGGCTTAGCTTCCATTTAAAATAATGGGAATGAGAATATTGGCTATGCTGTATCAAATACTTGGTAAGAGCCAAATGCAAAAGCTAAAACCCCAGAGATATGTGGCAAATGCAGAACATGTGAAGGCAATAAACATTTTTATTAAATTCTTTAATAGTAATTTTAATTATATTTTTAAAATATCCTTGGATACTGTCCACTTAAATATAAAACATTTGCATTCTTGTCTGCGCTGATATAGGCTGATGTGGGGTTTTTGATTTTCATATATGATTGGGGTCAGAACAATTTGTTTTGTTTACTTTAACTGTCTCAACAGGGGAAGACTGTCCTAAAAAATAATTGTCAACTAACCTTCCATCAAGGTATGGTGAATACTCCAGTAAATGTTAAGACAGTTCTTCTCTTTTTTCATTCCTCGTTTGCACTTACAGCCGTGCAGTTGGCTGGAAAGAAGTGCCGTGACTGTTCGTTTGCACTGGTTCTTAGCGTTTGGCCCCAACTTGTTAGCACCATTGCCTGCTATACACTGGCGGAGGGTTCGTAAATTGGAGCTGCAGCTGTGATTGCTTTTGCAGGCCTCTCCTGCCTGCAGACAGTCTCTGCTCGACGATGCGGTTATTGTTGTCCTCTCTGTAAAATAATATAACACATCAGAGGTTAGGTGAGGTGTGTCTCCCAGGTTCACAAAGACAGAGATTACATTTAATAATAATAAATGCAAAAGCAATTTTGGGGTTAAATATTTGTCTGCTACACAGAACCAGAGCAGCTATCTGGCAACCTGGCAGAGCCAACTGTGTGCTAAATGGGGCTTTAGGGGAACCTCAAGTTGGGTATTAGTTAGACCCCCTTCCTTTTATCATCCAACTGTTAGGGTCACAGATGACGTTAAATGTGTGGAGCTAAACTCAATAGACCCCAATTGCTCAGAGCACCTGCCTTGCAAATGCTTCTCATTGAGCTGCATTAGGAAGTCTGTGATTGGACAGCCACAGAAAGTCTGGGAGGGGTTGCAGTCACTGCAGATACTAGAAGTCAAGAATTCACATAACCCCAAAGAAAACATGCAAAATAAATTAAATTCATATTTACTTTGGACATATATCTACTATATATTTATGGAGACGAGCTTGGGAAAAAAAATGGCCCACAATTATATGTATTCCTCTTCTATATGTAGCTTTAACTATGTGATTGTCACAAGTTAACATTCCTCATTCCAATTGCCAACATATACTCAATAAACTGTATTGATATATTTATGATATGATATTGATATCTATATGTTATAGATATACTCAATGGTGCATTTGTTGTGGCCACAGTCCCTGAAAATTCTTATTGCTGCTGACTGATATTAACTGGCTAGTTGGGTAGCCTCTGTGAGAATTGCCAGGAGCAACAAGCGCAAGTCGTAAGAACATGCATGATTAGGATTCCCTCTTTCAAGTGCATTTGCAAATGAGAGAATCTCATTGTAGAGTGCACAGGCTTGAAGGTTGAAGGTTTCCCACTCAAACATGGAAGCTCCAGGAGTAAAGAGAGGGGCACTCAAAGCAGGCTCATGCAATACTCATTTCTAGGGTTATTCAATAAAGAGTGAATTGTCATCAACTGAAAATTAGTTTTAAGGGATTAATAGATATGTAAAATGAGAAACTAATTCTAATCGTCCATCATTTAAGGATTAAATCTACCTTTACCAACTTTTTTTTCCATACATTTTCTTTTCTCATTTGAAATGTCCAATGTAAAATATGGCTATAAATTAAATATACGAATACAAAATGTAAGGTGTGTACCTCACCAAATAAAATATAATTACAATGTTTAAGGGCAATTCAAATGGTTAGAATGGACGGATCATTCTGATTTTATCTGCAGACATGATCTTTTTCCAAATGAGAAGAAGCAAATTACATTCGGTGAGATGAAATATGTTTTTGTGTAATTCACTGCATATGATATTTATTAAACCAAATTATAGGATATTTCAGCTTAAAAATAGAATGTGCTAAAATGTAGATGAATGAATTGCTGTCTCACGTTGCTCATTTGGACAAGTTATGTTCTACCACCCCTTCTTTTCTTCACAGCTTCAAGTCTAAATCTACTGCCTTTCTTTTATATGATATATACATCTGCTCTGCTGGTTTTTGTAACAGAATTAAAAGCTGTATTTTTTGTGGCCCCAAATATTAGCTTGTTTTATCAATAGAAGCAAAAGGTGATTTACGCTCCCTACATCTTTATCCAACAACAGCTGGAATGGGAGAGTGGGCGCATGTTCCCCCTCCGTAGATCAATCAAGCATGAAGTATGAAACATTAATATTACTGAATTAAAAATATGCATTTTTTATTATTTGCTCTGTTAAGGACAATATATTTCAATTATATAGCTTCCTATAATGACCCTTCAGACTTTCAAGGCTAATTGCCCACAGCGAGCTAATGGTACAGATGTTAAAGGAGTCTAATACAATGCCTTGATCCTCAGAGTATCCTCCACAGGGATCCCAGCTATACAATACTGCAGCCAGGCTTTCAGAAACAGACTTGGGAAAAATACAAGAAATGTTTCTCCTGATTTTACATGACACAACATGGATTAGGCCAACCTCTTGTAGCTATTTTATTTATTACCCCTGCCATCCAATACATCAACACTATCTTATACTAATCAGATATTTACAGTAGCCTATACAATCTTCCGTTTCATATATTTTTATTATTATTCTGATTTTGTCACAGTTTACTGCATTAAATTGCAAAATAATGCTGAATGGTGGCTTCAGTTACAACCTACATTACCGCTATAGTACAATGGTTACATGCCTCCCAACTCCAGTGTTCTGCGAATCATTTGCATCACTAGCTCCACCCCCAAGGGACAGATAAGCCTGGGCGGGTCGGCCAGTCCATAATGCAGGCTGCAAAAAGATATGGAAGGGCTGCGCCAAATAAGGGTAGATAGTCCAGTAAAGTATTGCTAGGGTGCCAATAGATGGTCTAGGATACTTGATAGAGTTCCTCTGTGGATGCGTCTGGTGTAGACCGTTCCGTATATGTAAATACAAGAGAGGTAGAGGCGACTAATGGTATAGTATGAAAGTTCAGGGTGTGATAGGTAACAAAAAGTAAAGAACTCACATTCAGGAGAGCTATGGCCAGCTCTGGTGTGGATTGCGTACAGCGGTATAATCCCCGCTTATGGGATATGTAGGGAGGGGTCTCCGTCAGCACCGTCTGGTAGTCCAGAGCTCGAAAAAGAAAGACAGAAAGCAACAATAGTGCTCTCAATTTTGATGTGGTTCAATGTGCAGATAAGAAGAGGTAAAAAACTCACATTTGAGGGAGCTATGGCCAGCTCTGGTGTGGATAGCGTACAGCGGTATAATCCCCGCTTATAGGATATGTAGCGGCGATACGTCCGTCAGCACCGTCTGGTGATCCAAGGCTCCAATATAGAAGAATAAAAAGCAGCAATAGTGCTCTCAATTGTGATAGGTTAAGAGAGTAGTAGAGAAAATAAAATAATACTCACAAAGATAGAGCAGAGGTACTGCTCTATGGATAGGCGCCGGTGGTATGATCCCCACCTAGGATTTCTTGGAGTACTGGAACTTTAAAATTGCCAATGGAAGTAAAAGTAACCAGGAAAGGTTAAAATGCCAGGAATAGGTAAAAACAAAAGTTGTTTAAAGTGCATAAAGAGTGCAATAAAAAGAGGATTGGTACAATAAAGTAGCCAAAAACTTTTATTGATCTAAAATACACAGTAAAATACAGAATTAATAACCATAAACGCGTTTCACCATAAGTGGCTTCTTCAGAATGGGA